CAGATGATCGATTATTCTATATGGCCATTAACGTCCTTAATCATATATTTTAATTCTCTTTAGTTTAGACTTTCTGTGAATACATCTCGCTCTTACATATATACAGCCGAATTCTCACTTCATACATCGGAAGAGCAAATTGCATAATTTGGATCTTGATGTAATAAATGTTCATAATATCATGTGCATTATTAGGAGCACAAATATATAAGTTTCTAATTTACAAAGAGGGGAAGTTGTACCATGCAATTATGAGTAGCGGAAAAGCAAATTTTAGGCCAAGATTATTGCTAATTTAAAATTGGTAAGATCACTTGAAATGATAGATAACCTTATGCCACAACGGAGGACGAAAGATTAGGAGGTGCTATTTTATCTGGAAACCAACATTTCACCGGATGAAAATAATGGGAATATCAAAGTGCAAATTAGACTGTTAACTGACTACTACCACTTCCGCTTACCGTACGTCTTAACTATAGAAAAGCAAATTAGCTGCCATTTTAAAGACATTAAATAATATAGTGGTGCAGACCATGCAGGCACCTTCTAATCCTCGACAAATATGGTTTAAGATGTTAAGTCGCTTGTACTGGAAAAGAACAAAATAATATAACTATTTGTCCTGATAAACCCACCGTGCCCCTGCGTATTACGAAGACGCGGGAGTATAATATATAAAATTATATAGAATGCACATGAACGACAGGCACAGGCTACGGCAGAGAGTAATAAGATTAGGCATACAGTTAGGGGATGTTCCAACTTTTTAGCAGCGAATTTTTTCGCGAATTAATAACATTACTCTATTTTGCTTCGGGCCGCGCGAATAAGTTAGCATAGTGAAGAAACAGGCTTTCGGTTTCAGCGATTAAGCTCGCAAAGTCGAAACTATTTATATTCAAATTGATTGACCTAGCCATGCAGTCGTTAAATAGTAATTCGCGGCAAATGATTGCATATAAAGTCGGGAATTAGTAGACTCCCGATGAAAGCAACCAGAAAGAGCACTTAGGGCAGTTTCAGACGTCGAACGGACATGAATGAGACAACAATGTTTCAAAGAATGGGGTAAGAAGGAAAAGGGATATTGCCAGTGTCTCACATCACAATGGTCTCGATGATCTAAACTTCTTTTATTCCGGGAACAATTTTGAAATGAACGGATACAACTTTGACAGATGATTTTGAAAGACGTCCTAAATTAATCAAGAGCACTTTCCTTTAGGGAAAATCCTGCGATCATCCTGTATCATCGAGTGTAATCAATGAACACCGCGGAAACGTCTGCCACGCGCGAAATTATGAATCTATGACAGAAAATCCGAGTATCGGCTTTTGAAATAAGACATGCTATTTAATTGATAAAATAAAAGTTGAGCAAATGCGACAATAAACCAGACGGATAGACCGAGCAATAGTACGTTTATATATATATTTTATAGTATAGTTATAGTATAGTATAGTATAGTATAGGCCAGTTGAAAGTTAAAGTTGAAAGTTATATGCAAATTAGTATAGTTTTATATGCAAATCACCATGTCGCAAATTTCTGGTAATGTTGGGCCACTCTGTACATCCGCTGTAAAAATTTATAGATGTGACGGCGGGACAGTAATTATCGATGAGTAAAAAACCCACAACTTATTTAGGAAAATCACCAGAAGTACTTAAAAATCGGACGAAGAAAGGTTTTTCATTTTGACAATATGTTATATAGATGTATGAATGACTCATGCATTTTCCCGGAAAATATGCACGCGAACAAACTGTAACATAGATTCCGCCATCACTAATGCGGAATATAGGGCAGAATTTTTCTTTGTTTCTCTCGATATAGCTCAGCACAATGGAGACAATTTTCCGCCTAGTTGCGGAGAACAGTCTTAATATTTAAATCCTGTCTTTGAACAGCTAAGAGGGATTAATCATGGCTTGCCGTGCCTTCACAACAAGCGTATGTGTTGCTCTTTTGCAATTGATTGTAAATCCATACGAAGGTAAGTGCAATGATTTATATACACAAGTTCGTCTGGCTTAATTAAAGAACACAGCTTGATTGAGAATATATCCGTTGCATATATACACGGATCGTAGCCACTGAAAGCAGCGTCTAGGGTAGCTCTATAATTAATTTCGGTGCACAGAAAGTCTATTGAATTATAGTAACTATTTTAGAACCTCTTTGAGTTTATATCTTTAGTATAAAACACATTTTGGGAAACTTTTGACAGTTTTCACGATTGCACAGAAATGCATTTAGCCCCAAGGGAACGTTTTACGTGCGCGCCCTTGCAATAAACAACAAATTTTCAAAGTTATCTTGCATAAATCGGTGAACTTTTAAACTAATCTATAAAAATCCGGAAGCCTGACTGGCTGTATATCAAGCCCTTTACCAGGAATTGGATACATGCACATACTCGAAATTATCAATAAAGTTTTACAAGTGCGTCAGAGTTCTACCAATATGAAGTGCGGGGAACTAAAGAAAAGTTGACAAAAAATATTTATCCAATAAACAAAAATAATGTCGCTCTAAGATTATACGAAATCTTCAGAGATCGCCCTATTTAATTAACTGACGAAAGTCTACGGATTATTTACATGATATAGGTACTAGTCATAAAAAGACTCTTTATATATGTAGCTACATGCAGCGTGTGAGGAACTCTTGATTGACTCGTTACTTCCCGTCATGAAAAATTCCGGATTAAAAGTAGCTAGTTTCGTCATATTACATCGGCGAGTACCTATATGCTGGATTGTAATATCACGAAACTAGCTATATTTGGCAGGGAATTTTTAAAGGTGGCAATTAAGCAACGAACCAATATATAACGACTTCCTTACACGCCAGCTGTAGCTACATATAAAGAATCTTCAGTAGTATGCGAGACACATTCATATATTCACGCTGTGCAAGATTAATTTCTTTTCAAATCGATTGTCTTTACAGGTGACATGCTGTTAACATGAATATGTGCCTCCCTCCCCCTCGAACTTTTATACAGTTAGGAAACTAAAGTGTCTATTTTTACAATAGTCGTCATATAATTTAAGCGGAAGCTTCTGAACCTGTAGCGGCTTACTTATCTTTAGCTCAGAGCATGGCAGAAGCAAAACGCGTACGCACAACGCGATATACTTCCCGCAGATTGAATAATTTTATATTATGCGTTTAATGAAGCTGAAGTTGGTTTCCTGTACCCAATAGGCACCTTTAAGAAGCACCAAATCTACGAGGGGGACGTGACATGAAATCAAGCAGTATATTTGTTTGAAGCCCAGTTTTAATTAGTTGTACATACAGCTCTGACCTTGCATGTTTACCAAAAGGAGTCCATAATTTTTATTCCTGTTGTGAAATTGTAGAAATTAAGACAGAATTATGATTCCCGTCCTAGATTTGGTAAGGTCTTTAATAATACCTTTACGACTCATTAGGATACCGCGTTCGGGTTTGCTTCGTATAAAAGAGCGTTAAAATATTCTTCATTGTATTATTTTTAAGTCATATACTTATAAACATAAATGTTGATAGCTGTTCCCGAATTTTAGTTGCGTTGTTATTGTTTCCAAACGGGAAGTTGATATTCATCGCTGAATAGCTGAGATCATATTGGCCAATTAGGTACAGGAAACTCATCATAGAAGGCTTAGAAGCGGGAATAATAATAGTAAAATTAATTTCGATCGATGGATAAATTGATACGTATGTAGGGCGAGGTGAATCTGCATATAATGAAAGAGTATAATCATGCAGGTTACGCCTTTGATCTGATGCACTTTTTACCTCGCCTAGCCAGGATACTCGCTCCATATAAACAGGCCCTAAAAATGAAAATTTTCGTCGATTCTAGGAGCTAGTTTAAGCCAGGCCTGAGTTCTGCCTAACCAGGCACAACAGCACTTTATGATAGAGCTAAGAGCCAAATACAGAGCAACAAGGCTTCTTAACAATCGCATTGACTTCTAAAGGCTCGTTTTCACTCAGGAAAATTCTCCTTTGGATCGGACTGGACAGGAAAGTTTCCTTTGTATAAAAGCCGCTTGAGAACTCACCGACAAAGGAAATGTCCGTTTCAATCCAAAGGAGATTTTTCCTGAGTTGAAACTAAATAGCCTTATGGTAAGTGTAATCTGTATTGGTTTATGCCTTGTACAATCATTCTACGATTCTTACTATCAAATACGAAGGCGAATGATTTTCAAGAAAACGTATAAGATTTTAGTGAGAATCATGAGCAGAGATAAAAGACTGTATCTTTATAAAGCTATTTATACTATTTTCAATCATGCAAGCACGTAAATAGTAAATAATAAATATTCGTTACTTTTTATTACGATTTAACCGACTAAACAATTTGAAATCTGGAAAGGTTGTTCTATATAATTAACGTAAATACATCTATGTATATTCTTAGCTATGACTGCTTCCTTGAGGTTAAGAGGACCTTTGAGTAATAACGGAACCGGTCGTGTTGAGGTCTTTTACAATGGAACTTGGGGGACAATTTGTGATGACCTTTGGGATATAAATGATGCCAAGGTTGCATGTCGTCAACTTGGTTATGAAGAGGCTGTTAGAACTCTCAATGCGAATGCTTGGCAGGTTCCTTCTGGATCTGGAAATATTTGGTTAGGTCACGTCGATTGTACCGGAAAAGAAGAAAGTTTGGCGAACTGTTCCCATGCGGGATGGGATCACAATGCTTATTGCAGTCACTTAGAAGATGCTGGAGTAGAATGTAGAACAGGTAATAAAGATGGATTTTGTTAACACTTCGAGTACAATTTTCTCTTTTGTCATCGTTATCTCTGATACGGATTCAGCTTTGTTTTTTCAGTCGTTTCGCATGTGGCATGTTGCACATATTAAAACTCCCGAGCTAGCGCCGTGCGAGGGCACTAATTCCGCCCGGAGATTCATGTGATTGAAGGTGGGTTTCAGGCGGTCAATGCTTGATGGTTTTGCTAGTTACGCGCATGCGCATAATATGAAGGATCGCAATGAATGGAAAGTTTGTATTTCATTGACAACTTCGACAAATTAACTGTCATTACGTAAACTTAAAACATTTCAGTCGATGAAGGATGGTAATTAGCAACGTCCTAATTGGCTAGAATGAAAAGTTTCATTGACAACTTCAACAAATTAACTATCATTGCATTTAATATAAAACAATTTGCAACATAAAATAAGTTCTTTAAAAATTTTAAATAAATAGAAATTATAGGATTATGATTGATAAAATTACCAGAGACATCGAGAAATGAGAGTACAGGTTGCTGGAGGTCTATAGCTTGTGCAGTCACTTTTACTTCCTACTTATGGCCTTAAACTTTCGTATCTCCTAGTTTGTGCAGCTGTGAATATATCATTCACCTTATAAGCGAGAATGGTACCAATTGTGTCGAAGTATTATCTGTGGTTTAAAGCCGTTTATCCGGTGTATCCTTTTCTTATAGCAGTACGACCACTCTCTTTATATATTATTTTCAGTTGCTGCAGGTAAATCAAGGTCACTGAGGTTACAAGGACCATCGAATGGAACAGGGCGTATTGAAGTACTCCACAACGGACAATGGGGAGCAATTTGTGATGATGGTTGGCATATAAATAATTCTAGAGTTGCATGCCGTCAACTTGGTTATCCAGATGCGGTGGGAGCTATTCCTGGTGGCCAGGTTCCATATGGAGCTGTTATATGGTTATCTCAAGTCGCGTGTACTGGGACAGAGAGTAGTTTGACCGATTGTTCCCATGAAGGATGGGGTAGCGGAAATACCTCTTGCAGTAATTTAAAAGTCGCCATGGTGGAATGTCAAACAACAGGTAATAAAGATGCCAGATAAAAAAATTCTGCCCCGTAGTGGATGCACTGGATAAGCTAGTGGAAACACAAACTTGCAAAGTTTAATGCATACGGTCAGACGACAACAAAGAAAGCTGCATTAATTACGGTTTTACCGACCAAATTGTTTGCAAATTGAAAAGTTGTTCTAACTAAATATATAACTAAATATATACATTCTTAGCTATGACTGCTTCCCTGAGGTTAAAAGGACCTTTGAGTGAAAATGGGACCGGTCGTGTTGAGGTCTTTTACAACGGAACCTGGGGAACGATTTGTGATGACGGTTGGGATATAAATGATGCCAGGGTTGCATGTCGTCAACTTGGTTATGAAGAGGCTGTTAGACCTCTTAATGCGAATGCTTGGCAGGTTCCTTCTGGATCTGGAAATATTTGGTTAGGTCACGTCGATTGTACCGGAAAAGAAGAAAGTTTGGCGAACTGTTCCCATGCGGGATGGGATCACAATGTTTATTGCAATCACTTAGAAGATGCTGGTGTAGAATGTAGAACAGGTAATAAAGATGGATTTTGTTAACACTTGGAGTAAAATTCTCTCTTTTGTCATCGTTATGTCTGATACAGATTCAGCTTTGGTTTTCCAGCTGTAATCTGTTTTTTAAACCATGTACAGTAGGAGGCAAAAGTTTGAGTCCAGTGACTGTATCTCATTGTTTTAGCAGCATACATTAATTTTCTACAGAAAACCTTACCTATAAGTGAACTAGAAAAAAGTAAATAAGTAGACTGAAAAATACATGCTGCACAACAACTATGAGATGTTATGATATTCATTTAACGTGTGTTAATGTGCAAACATGCATTACATGTGAATGCTTAGTGTCCGCCTTTTTTGCTCTTGAAATGACCTTTATTCTTGCTGGCATAGCCTCCATAGATTTTTTAATGTCGCACGTCGATACCTTGCCAGCATTCGTTGACCACTTGCCTCAAGTCATTCTAACTGGCGGGTCTGTGCCTCGCCCTTTTCCGGTTAAAACGGTCCTACAAGTGCTCCATAGGTTTTAGATCTGGAATTTGGGGTGGAAAGCCATGAGAACGAGATCACCAAAACGAGTTTGCTTCTAAAAGATTTCTGGCACATAGAAGATGTGCATGTGCTTAGGGTGATTATCATGTAGTTAGACGCGCGATTATCTTTGTACCAGATGAAATTCCATGTCCTTGAAGAATCGGATGATACTTTTCCTTGATTAGGTTCCTATTATATCTTTCAATATTGCCAAACCCAGCATGACCGAAACAGCTAAAAGTTTGCTTGAGTAGGATTTAGTTTCTTCGAACCTCTCCAAGGTTAGTTCCATACCACCCTTTGAAATTCTCACTTTTTCTGCGATCTTACGAGGAAAGAATCCTTCAATACTTAATGCAACTATTTGTCCTTGTGCACCATTACTTTGCCCTTTTTCCCACCCATCTTGGGCAGTGTAAAGGAATGAGAACTTTATTTTGTTATAATTTAGATCATTAGGACCAAAACAGTGTGCAATTAATATGGTTTACAGTATTGAAACACTAGCACGCATGTCTTTACTCGAATACGCTGCCAGGATTTAATACTGGAATTCTACAACGACTGGACTCAAACTTTTGCCTGCTACTGTATATGTACTTTTCATGACCGCACACAACGCAGCCAAACATAGTAGAGTGCATATAATGTCTCAGCAGGCAGTAAATATGCTTTATTTTCGCTTCCAACTGCTTCCATTTTAAGTCTCCTGTCCGAACATGGAAGATGGCTCACACGAGGCGTATGGAGTTTTCCGGTGGCCAGAAACTTCAGTTGGAAGTTTTGCTACACTTGCTTGTCCGAACAACCGCAAGTCCTTCGCAACTCGTAAATGTTTGCACACAAACCAAACAGAAAATGGGTGTGCCTGGGGCCAGGTCATGGCGGACCAATGCAAATTTCGAGAGAAACGAAGCAAAGATCTTTTTCTTTTGGCGCAGGTAATTAAATGCCCGGCGAGGTGATATACAGGCAGCGTATTTCAGAGTAACCTAAAAGTACTTTCAACCATTTTCATTGTAGGAAGACGTTGATACAGCTAATGTGTTGAAAGTCTCTCGAGATTTGAAAAATCTGTCTGATCATAATCCAAGGACTTCAGCTGGGGACATTAATAATATTGCCACAATATTAGAAAAAATTGCCGCGGTGAAGGAAAAAATGAACGAGGTTAGTTACGGCTCCGACATTTTGCAACGTAATACACATCCATCAGACTTCAAACTGCATTCAAGGCACCTTGTGTATGACTGCATGTTTCTTCACACTAGTAACGCGCATCCGTCTTCGTATTCAGTCTGTGTTCTCCATATTCATCCATAGACCTTTGAGGATTCGCTCACCACAATAGACAATGTCCTGGATGCAAGTGTGGAAGAAATCTCAAAAAGCCAACAAAAAAACACTTCCTCAAGGTATATAAATTAACCAGTCCGTTGTCCAGATATCGACACTTTAGATCGCAACAAGGTCAAATTTCGTTTTAAACTAATCCACATATTCCTTTACATTTTTCAGGCAAAGCCAATCAAAATGCCTAAATTTTTAATACTTCATGTAAAAAAAACCTTTTTACCGGAAGTAGTCAAAGTAGTTTATGCATTTATTAAAAATGTAAACAAACTCGCTGATTGGTCTAAAACACTATTCCCCCTTGTTTTAGATGGCTGGTTTCACAGTATCATAACGATCGAAGTTTTTTGCAGGATTTTTTTGATGACAATGCCCCTCTTAGATATTACATCACAACTATTTCATGCGAAAACTAACATTGTTAATGTAATTTGTTTACTGTTTTTTCTTTACAGGATTGTTGAAACATTAAATAATATCGCAAAAGAAATACCTATTGGTCCGGGCCGAAAATTTGAAAAAATTAAAAGAAACTATGGTCTTAATCTGCAAGAGATACAACCAAAAGACTTTACGGGGCTTACATTTTCAGGAGTGGTAAAGAGGCCAGGAGAGGCACACCCGAAGAATACGAGCATTTCAACAAATTTTAGTGATTTCGTTTCTTCCATCACGTCAGCTTCACTTATTATTCCACGAACATTATTTAAAGAGGCAAACGTTACAAAGAATTTCATAAAACAGAGAGTCATTTTTTTCCTTTTTATTGAGACAAAATTTTTTAGAACAATTTCTTCAGATACCAAGGAAACTCAAAGTAGCTTGGATAGCTTTGTAATCGCTGGAAGCATTAAGGGGACACCGGTCGCAAATTTAAAGGAGCCAGTTAAGCTCGTTTTCCCAAGTATTTCTCAGAAAACTGGAAATAAAAAGAGTGCTTTGTGTTCCTTTTGGGACTTTAGTCTGGAAAATTGGTCACAGGAAGGCTGTTGGCTTGAACGAGTTTTGGATAAAGGAAGAGTTCTTTGCAACTGTAATCATATGACCAACTTTGCAGTGCTAATGGTATAAATCTATATACACAAGTCTGCAATCACCTGACTAAATTCTTAAATCTCTAAATTTGACTCACGTGTATATTATTTTTATCCGAGAAGTTTGCTCTCTTTTGACTTCTGTTAAAACGTTAACTTTCTTCCCTTAGTTATACCAATGTTCAGTGAGTTCATGTGAATTGCTGGTGTAAATTAGTTTTTCCGGCTTCTTTTAGGACATGACGGCAACCACGAATACCCCGACACACCATAAGATACTTGGTGTAGTCAGTTACGTTGGGTGCGCTCTATCATTGGTTGGACTAATTATAACGATAATCGCGACACTAAGAGCAAGGTGAATAAAAAAAATTGATGTTTTACAGCCGCCATTTTTGGCAGCTGTTTCACTTTGATACCACTTTAACACATTTACTCGCAAGTTTGAAACCAAAGCACGAGATTAGCAATCACTTCCAAAAAGAATGACTTTGGTTCGCATTGATGTCCCTTTAAATCTGCTAATCCATCGTCTCTTTATATCTTAGAGAGCGCAGGAAAAAGGTCCCAAACAAGATTTTGTTGAACTTCTGCATCGCCTTGACACTAATGATATTCGTATTTATGGTTGCGGCGGAGAAGGCCAAATCCACGTTGTACGGCTGTCGGGCAGCGGCAATTGCCTTGCATTACTTCTTGTTAGCTACATTCTTGTGGATGGGGGTAGAAGCGTTGAATATGTATCTGGCATTTGTGAAAATATTCCCTTCTTCTTCCCAATCCAAGTTCATGCTAAGATATTGTCTGTTTGCATGGGGTAAGGTATTAAAATTCATGATACGACAAACCGCTGGCTGAAAGCTAACGGCGTACGCAAGCGCTCTCAAATGCTGGTCAATTTTAAAACTCTGTTTATTCGTTGTTTTACAAAAAAGCCCATGGCAAGCATATCATATTTGGAAAGGAGGGCAAGTCTACGTTTTTCGGTAACATATAGGCGTGCATGGTTTATTATAACAGTTTGTTGGCATCAAGCAGTGTACGCAATCTTTATCTAACGACATACCCGCCCTTCGCCACGCCACTGTGGCACCAAGCACTAGTGAGGTGAAAAACAATTGCACAAGACATTATTGAAAACAGATGGGAATGATATGACAGTCACCTAAATGCTGATTTACTTTCTTGTATGTTATTATGGAAAAATTCAGGAATGTATTTCTGAGCGTTTAAAACTATATCCTTCCATGGCACAGCCGCTAAGGAAGAAGATACACAACTCGGAGCAAAAAATTCTACGTAAGCAAACACACCGAGTTTGGCGCGAAATGACGAATGGCGGGAAAATAACGAATCTTACACATATAGTTGAACTGCTCGTCATTGCTAAAGCTCCATAATAGAAGCTGCTTGCACAACTCTCTCGTGTTAAATTTCTTTCTGACAATAAGCTTTGATATATTTTAGGCACACCTGTTGTGATCGTAGCAATCACAACGATAGTTGCATTTGATAAATATGGCGACACGAAATCTTGGTAAGATGTACTTCTAAATTCTACTTTGAAAAGTTTAAAATTTTATGGACATTGAACTACGTTGTACGTAAGCAACGACTGCGAATTCGCACTGCTGGGTTTTTAGGTGTCTATTCCGTTGTTCAAAGCTTGAATAAGTAAATTTTGACAGCTTTCGATTTTCAATATCAGACGACATTAATAGGTCCGCTGATAAGGTTTAAAAGTATATAATAATCATGTTATAGACGATCCGTCAGGAATGTAAAAATACATTATCAAGACAGAAGCTGTTTTCTTAACGTTTCTCAAAACTCAAAGATCCCATCGTAAATGGCTTACTAGAATTTTTTGATTTACTCTTTTAGTTGTCGACTGCTGGGCGTACCATTCATCGTGGCGTTCGTCACTCCAGCTGTCGTCGTATTCGTCGGGAACATCGTGGCCTTCTGTGCAATCATACGATCGATCCTAGGTTCGTTCAACCACAAAACAACGGGTTACCACAAGGCTCGTCGGGGCATTGCAATTACGGTTCTCCTTGGATTGACCTGGCCTTTTGGTTTTCTGGCGATTGGCGACTTCAAACTAGCATTCCAGTATCTCTTCTGCATTTTAAATACATTACAAGGACTGTTTATTTTTGTCTTTTTCATCTTGTTGCCCTTTGGAACTAACGGTAAACTGAGAATCACGCCAAAAAATACCAACACCCAACGAAGTGATACTCAAATCAAATTGTTGGTGAGGAAACAAAAGCCACCAACCGCCGGAACGGATAATTCTTACGAAGAAAAACATAAAAACTGAGAAATCCATATGGAACCGACAAGTATATTTCGTTCTTGAACTCCTTTACATTATTAGATGAGAATAAAAGTAGCTTCAAATAGTTTTTAAATCGTAATTAACATGTAAGTCATGTCATAGTTAATTATTATCACGCATTTGCAATCTCATTTGTGTATTGTTGTAATGTAATGGATTGTACGATCTTGGTAACAAGAAGGAAATAAATCACCACAGCTAAAAAGAGCATACCGAAATTAGTATAATCGCCAAGTTTGGCCGCAAAATGTCTAGTGTTACGGAAAATATAACCATGCAAAGTAGCCAATTTTGTATACTTTGTATACCAGCAATTCACATGAACTCTCTGAAAAGTATACCAAATTGCCACCTTCGCATAGCTATATTTTCCGTACTTTGACATTATTTTGCAGCCAAGCGTGGTAATTTTACTAAATTGTGTAAGCACTTTTCGGAATCGAAAGTTGTAAGATTTTGTATACGGCCGGAACTATTTTGTAACTAATTTAGTTACACATTTCAGCCCGTAATGCCAACTTCGCATGGCTATATTTTCGGTAATTTAGCAAATTTCGCAGTCAAACTTTGCCAGCATTTGCACTAATTCAAGTATGCTCTTTCTATCTGTAATGATTTATTTTCTTCTTATTACTTCGATCAAAAAATAGTCTAGAGCGCAAATCATCTACTCTGCCGCCTTTTAAGGAGAGGATGGACGCCTTTTTTGACCGACTAACGAGAAAAAGTTGGCCGACTAATTTTTCCCATCCATATTACCCGTGCATAATTATAAGGTTTCAATTACCACTACTGCGAAAATTTCACTGGTGGGGCCTGGTAAAGGGTTGATGAGGTCAAATGTTTATTTACATCCTGGCCTTTATATTTCTAGAATTTGGGTGAATCATCTAAGTAAACATAACGTCAAACTAATGTCAATCCTACCTATTAACATATCCCGCGCTACGAATGAGGCTGTTTAAATCATAGGAAACAGGTAGTGGAAACATCCTTGTATTTGCTTTCTCAGGTTGAGTTAACTTTAGTAAGATGGCAAGCGATATTATCCTAAACTGCGTGCTCGGTGGTCTAATTCTTGTGTCATGCCAATGCCAAGGTGAGTCATACGCAAATTGGTTTCTTATACATATTACATACATACAAAGGCCAACACAACACCGCGCGCGATCTGCTAACGCGATTGTTGCATTTTGGGGGCCACAACTCTCAAAATTTCCTTCCAGAATCGAAAGTACTTTCACATCAAGCATGATATTGTTTGTATATGAACAACTTTTTCGGCCTGGTCGGGGAAAACAACTATATATTTCTAATCAGCTGTAGAAGGAAACTTTCAACCGGGTGGCTGCAGTCGTAAATTTTTGTAATTTTAAGATGATAAATACTCGAATAACACAGTGTCAACTAAAATACTGTCATACCGGTTTATCTCAATTTTTTTTATAAGTAAAAACGTCATATTTATAGCTAATCTCTTGCCGTAAATTCAGATATACTTTCTGTGGCAAATAACAAATTTTCAAAGATAGAACTTTAAAAAATCCATGAAAATTCGGAAGTCTGTCTGATGACTCTATAATTATATATAATTATATAGCTACAGCGTGTGAGGGACTCGTGATTGACTCGTCATGAAGCCCTACACCATGAATTTGATAAAAATACTCGAAATTATCAATGAAGTTTTACAAATTCAAGAGGGTTCTACCATGCAGCATTAAATTCGGGGAACTAAAGTAAAGTTGATGAAAAACATATATATCGAATAAACAAAAATTAATGTCACCCTAGGATTATAAGTAGTCTTCAGAGATTGCCCAATTTTACTCACAAAACTGACAAAATTCTACTGATTATTTACATGATAGGTTCTAGTCATAAAAAGACACTTTATAATTATATAGCTACAGCGTGTGAGGAACTCGTGATTGGCTCGTTATTTCCCGTCGTGAAAAATGATTCCGGATTAAAAGTAGCTAGTTTCGTCATATTACATCGGCGAGTACCTATACACAGTATGCTGAAGTACCGCTAATGTAATATCACGAAACTAGCTACTTTTAACACGGAATTCTTCAAGGCGGCAAGCAACGAACCAATATATAACGACTTCCTTACACGCCAGCTGTAGCTACATATAAAGAGTCTTCAGTGGCGTGCGAGACACATTCATATATTCACATTGCGCAAGATTAATTTCTTTTCAAATCGATTGTCTTTACAGATCGATTAACATGAATAAGTTTTTAATGAAAATCATGAGCAGAGAAAAAAGATTGTAATTAACGAAAATACATCTATGTATATTCTTAGCTATGACTGCTTCCTTGAGGTTAAGAGGACCTTTGAGTGAAAATGGAACCGGTCGTGTTGAGGTCTTTTACAATGGAACCTGGGGGACGATTTGTGACGACGGTTGGGATATAAATGATGCCAGGGTTGCATGTCGTCAACTTGGTTATGAAGAGGCTGTTAGACCTCTCAATGCGGATGCTTGGCAGGTTCCCTCTGGATCTGGAAATATTTGGTTAGGTCACGTGGATTGTACCGGAAAAGAAGAAAGTTTGGCGAACTGTTCCCATGCGGGATGGGATCACAATGCTTATTGCAATCACTTAGAAGATGCTGGTGTAGAATGTAGAACAGGTAATAAAGACGGATTTTGTTAACACTTCGAGTACAATTTTCTTTTTTGTCATCGTTATTTCCAGCTATAATCTGGTTTTAAACCATTTATATGTACTTTCCATGACAAACCCCACACAACACAGCTTTATCTTCGCGATTGTTACGAATTTTTGAGTTTTTAAAAGCAACTAAGTTTGGTCATGTTATGATAATTAGCGAACGACAGCGCAATTTTTCATTCATGTCTGGGGCCCGCAACTCTCAAAATTTCCTTCCAGAATTGAAGGTATTTTAACGTCAAGCATGACAAAACATATTTAATCAGCTATAGAAGGAAACTTACAACCGGGGTGGCGATATAATCGTAGGTTTTTTGTAATTTACCCGTTTATCTAAAGTAAAAACGTCACTTGCTAAACTTGTAAATTCAGATATATACTTTCTGTGACAGTCAGGTTACAAGGACCATCGAGTGCAAATGGAACAGGTCGTGTTGAAGTATTTTACAATGGACAGTGGGGAACAATTTGTGATGATGGATGGGATATGAGAGATGCTAAGGTTGTGTGTCGCCAACTTGGTTATCAGGATGCCTTCAAATCTCTTGACGAGATTCCTTCTGGGTCTGGGCCTATATGGTTAGATAACGTCGATTGTACTGGGGGAGAAGAAAGTCTTGAAAAATGTCCTCATTCAGAATGGGGAAGCCATGATTGCACTCACTCTGAAGACGTTGGAGTGGAATGTAGAACGGCAGGTAATAATCATGCATAACCAAAATATCGTTTAAAAAATATAAAAAAGCAACCTAAGAGGTCAAACATGTTCCTTAAGCAACAAATTCAACTGTTGCGATCTTGACGTGGTTGTGAAAAATGGATTTTTACGTACAAAAACAAGAACGTTGCATTTAGAGTACAGCATGAAGACCTTTTACGGTCGAGTAAAAAACTGTAAATAAATATTTATTAATACGATATAAAAAAACTAAACATTTCTGCAGGCGAGAGTCTACCACTGAGATTACAAGGGCCGCTGAGTGTCAATGGTACCGGACGTGTTGAAGTATTTTACAATGGAATCTGGGGAACAATTTGCGATGATGGATGGAGTATGGAGGACGCTAGAGTTGCATGCCGCCAACTTGGTTATTCGGATGCTGTCAGAAATCTTCTTGGTGGACAAGTTGCACCCGGTTCAGGACCTATATGGCTAGATGTGATCGCCTGCACTGGGGAAGAGCAAAATATAGCAAGTTGTTCTCATAATGGTTTGGGAAATCATGATTGTTCACATTCCGAAGACGCTGGAGTGGAATGTAGTACAACAGGTAATGCCGCTTACGAAGAACGATCAGAGCTGCTCATCAAGACATTGCTAATGCTTTCTCGAATCCCGATAACAGAAACTTCGTTTTATACACGTCTTTTGCATCGTGATTTTAAATCATCGCCCACTATCTCCACCAAAATATCACTGGGAAGACAATGAGTACTTCCTACATCTTGAAATTTCGGTTTTGTTATCATAATTGTCATGTCACAGCCATTTTCGATGAAATCATGACAAGCTTTCCTCCGCAGCATCTCCATTCTATATATATGATTTTAAGTTCTTTCAGATAAGCCTGTGGCCGTGCAAGTGAGGTTACAAGGACCCCTGCGTGAATATGGTACTGGCCGTGTTGAAGTGTTCCACGATGGACAATGGGGTTCAATCTGCGATGATGGATGGAATATAAAGAATGCGAGGGTTGTATGTCGTCAACTTGGTTATTTGGATGCAGCGCAATCACTTCAGGGAAAGCCGGCCGTTCTTTTCGATCCTGGACCTATATGGTTAGATGACGTCACTTGTTCCGGGGATGAAGAAAATATAGCAAGCTGTTCTCATCGCGGATGGGGAAGACACGATTGCTCACATTTTGAAGACGCTGGAGTAAAATGTATAAAAAATGGTAAAGATTCGCCGTAAAGTTTTTCCCACGGTTTTTCATATAACCGAAGTCTTTTTGCCTCCATAAACCTGTACTGTATCTCAAGTTTGCGTTGATAAACCCTACAGTTACCTTGCGTCCCTTAGATGGATGTTCCCTTGTCGATATAATGTTTTTCTTAAATAAACTTTTATTTTGAAGCAAATAAACCAGGGTCTTTGAGGTTACAAGGGCCTTTAAGTGAAGACGGAGAAGGTCGTGTCGAGATTTTCCACGATGGACAGTGGGGGATGATCTGTGATAAGGGATGGAATTTCAAAAATGCCAAAGTCACATGTCGTCAACTCGGTTACGCTGATGCAGTCAGATCTCTTCATTACGTTCAGGTTCCTTCCAGTGCTGGGGTTGTATGGTTATCTAACGTCAATTGCGATGGTGCAGAACAAAATATTACCAGTTGTTCTCACGGAAGCTGGGGACAGCATTCTTGCAGCTATATCGAAAACGTCGGAGTAGAGTGTAGTACAACAGGTATAGCTGCGGTTCAGCTCAAAAAATAATTTAGCAATCATCCTAAAATATCAAATAATTTCGGGAACTTCATTAGCGTAATTCTCGTTTTCACAGAGCTTGTTTAACTTGCAAGCTCATCCCGGTATAGGGTAAGTGTTTTTAGGAGATGTGTATAAGGAAAAGTGGTGTAAAAGGTTCGGAACTTGTGCAGCTTACTGTGTGGTGAGAGCACGATATCTCTATTCCTCCTCTATATTTGGTTAAACTTAGTTTTTCATACCACATAAGGTTCGATGTATAAGAATGTAGTTAACTTTTAACTCCTTGAAATTAGCTTTAGAGCTTTATATTCTCTGGACTCTAAAGATGATATTTTTCTTGTCCTCGCTGATGCTGCATGATATTCCTTTGTAGTTGTCAAGTGACAGAAGAGAAGTTATGCATTTTTTATTTTTGGAATAGATATTCCAGTGTCTATATAGCAGGCATCACTGTTCTAATACATTCTCTGATATTCCTTGAAAGTTATTGAAGACAAACCTGTGACACTGAGGTTACAAGGACCATTGAGCGCTAATGGAACAGGTCGGGTTGAAGTACTTTACAATGGGAAATGGGGGACAATCTGTGATGATGATTGGGATATAAACGAAGCTCGAGCTGTATGTCAACAACTTGGTTATCCAGATGCGATAAGAGCTCTTGAAGGTCATCAGACACCCCCAGGTGTTGGTCATATTTGGTTATACGGTGTTGGTTGCACAGGAATAGAACAAAACCTGACCAGTTGCTCTTATTCCGACTGGGGAAAGGGAGATACATGGTGCACACACGAAGAAGACGCTGGGGTAGAATGCAGTACAGGTGGGAGAAACCAAATATCGTGATCCAGTCAATAAGATACTGTGGTTTAAAACGCCATTTCTTTAGTCAATATTACGTTTATAAGTGGTGAACATTTTGGCTTGCGCTTTCATACATCTCAAAAATATTATTTATTTCCCCAAAATATATCTCATCAGTTGAATGGTTATGAATACTTCCTTCTTGTTCTGTAAGCTTGAGATATTTATAGGTGTCATCAGCATTGGCAAATCATGTTGCCATGAAAACAGTTTAGCAAATTATGCTACTTGGTCGCATTTATGTCTAAAAGAAAGGCAGCCTATTGAACGTTAGACAATAGAAAAGTTAAAACCATTGTTGGAAGGGAACGCTTAAACTGTATTATTTTCCTATTTTATAGGCGAGAATGACTACTTCCATGTGTTTTTGTTGTTGAATAATAATGAATACGATGTGATTATCACGACAAATTTCCAGGGTCAGCTCGAAAATTTTCATCTCAAACAAAAAGAAAGAATGGTGAAAACGAAGAGATCGAATAGAAAAGAATCGTTGGCGGTTAGTGCAGTCGACGCTGATAGGAGGCAAAAGGTTAACATCAATGGACAATCTGTTGTTTATCTGGAATCAACGATTGAAGCATTGTTGTCCTTGAACGTTCTTATCATCCGTGGTAAGCTAAGATTAGATACCATCCAGTATTCTTAATTACTTCGATTCTAAGGTTATTTATTAGAAATACTCAACTGAGCTTGTTAATTAAAACATCTTGTTTATAACCCAGGTGATCTGCAATAGCAGAAAAGGACTTGGACTAAAGTTGTCAAAAAAATACCCATTTTTCGATTGAATTTCACAACTTAATATCTCCGGAAATATCCTTTACTTCGGTTTCAAATTTACCGTTAGGAGGCACAGTTTTTATAAATAAACGTAATCAGAAGACGTATACTTCCTCCAGTTTTTTAAAAAGTGAGAAAAAATATAATGTATTCTAATATAATATATATTATGATAATAGAATTCTGCAACTAATCATACACTCTTATTTTTCGACTAGCGCCGTAATCCAAGAAACGAAATATTGCAAGAAAGGGAGCAACTCCACAATACCTATATACTCTTTATTACTTAAGAAGTAAATATTTGTTCGAAGAATGAATACTTTACTGGCTGCAGCAATTATAAAAGGACAAACTTGTATAGCCTGTAGAATGTCATTGGGGTTAAAAATTCTAATTTTGAATGTTGGTTTAACACTACAATAAATTGCTTAAAAATAAATATCAAAAAATTTAATTTCTTAATTATTTTTGTGTGTAGCCTGTTTGCAAACGAACAATATATACCAAAAGTTTCGTTTGGTTTACCGGGGTCGGGCTTATTCTATAATAATATATTAGTTTAACAACACGGTCAATTAATTTCAGCGGTTTTACACTTACGGGTATCAAGGTTCGAATTTTTCCTATTCGTCTATTAATTTTTTCCGTTTGTCAGAGACCAAAGTGATGTCCAGTTCTGCCGCCCTACGGATTTCTTTTGGTAGTGCAATAGCTTACAATAGAAATCGGGCAGAACTGAATATATGAGTATTCACCCCCCTTCCCAATTATTGTTCGAGTTACGCCCCTGAATATATTACATACTGTTGCGCATGTAATACAAGGGATTTCTGTATTTCATGTATGGTTGTGCTGATGTAACATACAGGGTAATAGCTACACAGTATTTGGGAACCGATGACATGGCGGCCCTGATTTGCTAACACAAAAAGTTGATATAAATCCGACTACTAAACTAAAAGGATGAACTTTAACTCGACACATGTTGCATGGTTTTTAAAATCATGCATGGTTTAGTTATACCGGACTATCTTGTGGAAAAGTTCCCAAGAGTTAGCGACATATATCACAGCGTAACCCGAGATACGGCGATAGAACCTATACTTTGTTTTGTCAGCAATAAAATTACGGAACAGAATTTCAGTTATAGTACCCTTAAGAAAAGTAACCGTACATTTTTAACATAACAATATATAGATCTTGACCATTTGAAGCTTTTCTATATTTGCATAGTTTAGTATATCTTAGTCCATTATTTTATCTCTGATAATATATAATCCGATGCAAATATTTTATCCCGAGGCATTTTATCAGGCTTTAGCTGTAATGCGTTTTTTAAATCTCATGGAAAAGAGTTATTCATTCATTCATCGCACGACTTTCACCTGCGTCTCCAAAGGAAATTGGATGTCAACTGATCGATTGGTGTAAATTGATTTGCTTGAAAAAGCACACGACTAAATTTTTTTTTCTGGCGATGAAGCAATGTTATAATTGCTCCAACTTGAGAACAATGAAAAACCACGTTCTCGGGATGCAGCACGACATTGTTTCATTAACCCGGAGCGTTTTAAGCCATGTAAGCACATATTTCAGCTGTTATTTCGAGTGAAAAGGGAACAATTTCCCTCATACGTACATTACTCATATGGCTCCAATTACCATTGCGGAAACGCGCTGACTGAAAAGGATTAAGGGGTCAAATGTCCATCAATGCAACCGTGGCGTTTATATATATTTCGCGAATTTAGGGAAATCATCTTATAGTGATATCCAACCTAAATCATCTCGACCTAATATTCGGGCTGCGAGTGAGAAATATACGAATCAGCCGATTCCATTATACTTGTATATATGCTTTCAGGAGTTGATGCATGGGCGCTGATTCGAGTAAACTTTAGCAAGATGTCAAGCAATATTTGCATAAAATGCGTATTGATTGGACTAATTCTCGCCGTATTGCAGTGCGAAGGTAAGTTTGACGCAAATTGTCCTTTTAAAGCACTTGAAATGAGCCATAGAACACAAGGAACTCGGGATAAGCAAATCCAGTTCGTAAGCTAGCATTTTGCAACTTAAGAAAGTGCATGGTTTAGGTGTTTTTGAATACACCGGATTGTAAACTCAGACAGTTTAGAATATTCGTTGATAAAAAAAATATAGCAACCCGGCAATAAACATAATTGATAAGTAATAACCTTGTCCTTGACGTCGGTATTCAGACGAGTTCTAATTGAAGACCATTCGCTTGTATTTAACTGTTTTTAACACTTGGATTAAGCAACCCTTTTGTGTAAATTCAGACACTTGACATCACCGTGAACTCCGTTATCCCTGTAAAGTACTAGAGCGGGTACCAAAGCTTTGCTCGGTTAATGCAATTAATTCTAGTTCAGAACTCAGAGACAAAGTAAATGTATGTATGTGCGACTTTGCCGATCTGCTTTTTTTTACCGACAAATCCGTACAAAAAAACAAAGATATACTGCAAAAATATAATCGACCCTGGAAAGATCCAGTCAAATATCAACAGTCATTAATGATGACAAATAGCCCGTCAGGAAAATCATAACAAAATCCTTGCAAAAGATTTTTAAAATCTCGCATGATCGGAATGGGAAGGAGAGAAGATACACCGCTCAACAGTCTAGGTACAAGAAAATGCTAGTTCAAATCCCAGTCGAGGCAAAGTAATTTTACCAGCGCTTCATATTTTACACCTCTGAGGATCTTTGATAAACCCCTTGGTTCGTTTGTTGACATATGAAAACAGTGTTCGGGCATACCGAAACTTTCGACGTGAACCTGACACGACTGAATTTTGTCATCATAATCATGATTTACAACGTCGAAAATATAGAAACTGAATGCAAACTATTCAGCTCTTATCAGGCAAGAGTAGTTCTCGAACAATGCCTGGGTCATTGCCGGTTGCTTCGCGGCGTGAACAAGCGACTGCCGCTGGGAATTGCATTGACTTTGGCCTTTCGGAAGAAACGATCAAATTCGTCCCATAGTATGCAGTGTCAAATTGAAAGTAATGTTCCTCCCATATAGAGAAAAGCGTTGAAATATTGGTATGATCTTCCTGCTAGAAAATGAGGAAATTTTTCCTCTTAAAAAATTAATACCATTATACAAATTAGTGAAATTACTAAAATCAGCTTCCCCGCATGTAGAATATCGAGCCTCCACAAAACACAGTTCATTTCTAATCGAATTGCATGCGAATAGCAAGCAAATGAATCATGTTCTATTGTGCATATCAGGACAATGATGACTCTATTTTATTTGATATTTGGTTGACTTAAAACCGAATCAAACATTGATATGCTATTGTGGAAATTGGGATGTAATTAGACCCTGGGGGAAACGAGAAATCTTGGCTTTGACTAACCGACCCCAACAGGCTGTCAACCCAGTCTGAAATTTATCCGCGCTGAGGGTAAGCAGTTATTTGATGAGTGTAGTGTAGCAAGTTGCCTCTGATATCATAAGAATTGATTAGGCCTTCCTCTACTTGCTACAGTATGAGCGACCTTCGCATATTAATGCGTCTTCATATCAAGGAAAACATCGCTTTATTAAGGCAACAGATACTTTGCAACGCTCTGTGTATTCAAGGAGTGAAAATCTGAAATCATCACTAATCTCCGACGAATGCGCAGTCTTTAATTCAATTGCACTTACATGAACTTGAAATTGAGAAGTAATATGATCGAGTGCACCTACACCAGGTGGTCCGCTAGCAGTCTGGAATTCAGTCAAGCTAGCCTAACGCTAGGACGAAAGCTGAAAAGTACTCGTAATTTGACTCATTTCGAAAAAAAGTGTTTTCGTCGCGTTGCACATACATCACGGCCTCTTCAGGACGTTTAAAATTCTTCCCAAGAGTGCTATGTATGCTATCCTTTAGCTTTACAAGAATCCTTATAACAACTACATTAGTACAAGTGATTCAAGATCTGTGCACGCTTAGAAAGGCGGGTTCAAGAGAAGTTGACTCATTTAAAAACAGGATTAATTGATTTTTCTCGCGCTATTAGTTGACGTCCAGGAAAAGCGGGAATTGAAAAGGCATGGTCATCACCCAAGCTAAGCTTGAACGACCCCAAGAATTTAATAGCACGATAAGTCGATACATATTTTTGAAATGCCAGATAATTACGACAACTGCGCAAGAAAAAGATAATTGAGATATTTGATTGCATATAACTAAGTTGACAGAAAAAACATTTTGTCGAGTTTGTTTACAACAAGTTAATTGAATGCGGTTATCAATGGTCAAGATCAATTTCTTATTTATATGAAGAGGATTATGCAACATAAATAAATAAACGAGTATTGAATTCGGTACTTGGTGGTATCCGGTATCAATCCAGATAACCCTTATGTACCTCGAATGTTTATAATATGATAATCTGGATTAAATGAGTATGTCCGGGCGACATTCAAGGGACATAAAAATTGCATGATTACATCCAGCATAGCAAAGTCAAAGACCTGTCATGATGTAAAGATTAGCTTCCTACTACATCTGCACATGCATACCGACAGAAGGAACAGCTTGTGAAATTTAGTCGAACTAAGACGCATACCAATAACAGAAAAATACAACGCAAGCTGAATAAACAACTCGCAAATCATGCGGCGGTGAAATTCTTTACAAATAAAGCCACACGCGAAAAAAGAATAATCTCGATCAGTATCACATTGCTCTTTTCCGACTGCTTCTTAAAAGATCTTTAATCCTTGCTTACTATCGTAAATATATACCTAGTAAACGTTTCGCATTTTAAAACGCTTGTTGAAGACATTAATGAATTCTTCATATCAATCGACCTTATTTCTGCTTTCCATATTTATATTAATATTTTGTAAAGAGCCCACTATAATTGGCGTTAAGCTGTTGTTGTTTCCCAGCTTCTTTTCTTTACCTTTCTTTATTTTTATGCATTATTAGCCTTAATGCAATTAATGTATGATGTTTGAAGCGAAGCACAATAAATAAATAAATAAATAAATATGCTGGATATATTTCTAATTTCAACAACAGAATTCAAATGCAGCAGAAATATTTACAGTAAATAACTGTAAATATAAACTGAAGGTCGCCAGGAGTTTGCACGACTCCCATGTTTTCATGGGTGATATTCACCCGCGAGCATTTCATTAAGTATTTATTGTATATTAATTACCTATTCACTACAGCAACCCCTGTAGCTCATACATTTTTTATAAATATAGCAATGTTTAAAATTACCTGATTTGAAAAGTTTCCTGTTGCTCAATGCGGTCAAAACAAACACCATCCGGTGTTAAGTAGCCAGTCTGGGGACAGTAAGTGTTTGTACAAGTTGATAAGGTTTTCAAGCTTACCTTGTTATTTCAACAAACACCCCTTTTCAATGAATTATCACCTGCCAGTAAAAAGCAAATTTAGGGCAGTTTAGTAATTTCGTAATTCAAACTTATGCAAATATGGGAGATTTTGGGGTGAGTAGCTAAATTGTGACTGGGCTATCACTCGGCTAAATTTTTACAAGTTCCTACAATTTAGTAGAAGTTTCTGATTTTTTCGCACTGACAAATATTCCCGTCAAAGGTTTAAAACTTTGCACTACTATCTAAGTATATAATGCGACTTCTTTATAGTATAGTTACTTTTTGATGAACGTGAAATTGAAATTAAAATCTTTGTCATCATAATCATGTATATTTTTAAGATTGTTTGCTATATAATATCTGAAGTAAAAACATAGGTGTTATACCATCTTCTTAGCAAAATAATATGCTAGTCAGTAGTTTGTAAAAAAATATGCAACCAAACTGTGCTATTCAAAGTCTTAGCCAGCAGTCGTATTACAAACGTTAATCACCTCTAACGAGAAAACTGAACAACCTTCAAGTTATGCACGTAGGGAACAATTTTGTGCAAAAAAATAAGGAACTTCTTCGTGTGAAAAGATAAAAAGATCATTAATAGCAGTTTCTGACTGTGCGTGCGGTGCATTTATTGAAAACAGGATGTGGAATGTTCGCACTTGACAAGAAAAATTGCTTTGCACAGCATTTAATTTCGGCATTCCCCTTGATGCAAAATACAATTTTACGCCAAAAAATAAGGAACTTATTGGTCAGGAAAATTGTAAGTTGATTACTAATGACAGTTGTTGACGACACACGCGAACATTTCTGACCGCGTGCGGTGCACTGATTATTGGGGAACATAAAATGAGGAACTTTTTCTGTATAGGATCATTTCATTAACGAGGGAACATTTTCATAGATTGCTGTGGGGCATTTAACCTAAGACCGCCCAGATTGCTCATAAAATTATAAAATGAGGAACTTTTTCTGTAAAGGAGGAGTATTTCATTAGCAAGAGAGTATTTTCGTAAACTAGCTGCGGGGCTTTTATAATCATATAATCTTATAATCATACAATTGTTCTCATAATTTGACATAAACATACATAATCGTTCGCATGAACAAAATCGTTATTTCCATCATCCCTCTCCCCGGTGTATTCTGCTCATTTGCTTTCACTTTATTATTTCTCAATGGCCCAGGAGTTAAAACGAGTGAAATATATACCAGGGTGTTTATAAATTGTGCAAAACTGGCGAAATTAACTTGCTAAATGTCGGTAATGGATTCATATGCAAGAAATACAATCCCGTTGCCACAATCGTTCGGGCATTATCGGCAGCATGGAGTGCAATATTCCGCCAAAAAAACCCCGGAATTTATTCGTAAGATTTCACTGAAAGAATAGGGTCGGACGGGTGGAGGTAGTATTTGAAACAGTGTCATGTTATCATGCAAAATAGTGGGGAGCTGTCACCAGCACCGTCACGCGACAGGTGGTTACATTACAATGTTGACCAACTTAAAGTTGATTAGAGTTGCAATCCCTACGTAAAACACCTTTTAAAGACATGACGTTACCAAAGGCCATGTTTCAATAGTTGAGTTGGTCTGCGCAAGTAAGTAAAAAATGCTATCCAAACACATTTGCAACATTTCTTCGCTCTTGTCTATCACCTAACATATTTCAATCCACAAAACCGGTGTTATTTCATAAAAGTAAATCTGAAAATGAAAATCTAAGGTTTGTATCCCGTCATTACAATTACCGGACGTTACACTCGCACAACATAAAGTATTAACTCGATACTCAACGTGAAAGTTTCTTCTTTGAAAACAAAATTTTCTTTAATAATTTTCATGAAGACTTTTTAAATAGGCATTCAAATACTGTTTTAAATATTGAGAAACAATGAATACTCAAGTTGCCCTAAGTCTAAGCTCCTGATCTATCAACAATCCTAGTATCCTACAAATAAAAGTCAAATATTACCCACCTTGAATCTTATGTGGTATGATTTGTCTTGCAAAAACTGTTTGTTCGAATCAGAACTGCCCTGCATGATAGGTCAACAGTTTCTGCGTCCGTGAAGCTTCGATAGATGCTTCATATTCGACAGATTTCAAATCTGCAGTTTTGTTGTTGTACAATCATTGACTCCATATTAATAAACGAAGCATTTGTTAAAACGATAGTGTATTTCATCAATAGACGAAGTTAATATAGTTAATTTGTTGTTTACGTAATTAAAATCTTTCAAAGCAAGATTCAAAAGTCAGCATTACAACTGTTAAAGATCAATCACTGTCATGATCACTGTATGTTCTTCCAGCATTGTCTATGGCAAGACATGGCAATTGGCAATACGAAATACTTCGTGTAGTCACTCACTATAGTGTAATCATAATAAATGAGACCGACTTTAAACGTATAGGAATTTTAGGCATGATGCTAGAAAATTAGGAAATTAGAAAATTAACTCATTTTTACATATATTTATAAAGCTCCTCAATAAAGTATTTATCTATGATATCTGACATCATGCCCCACAAATGGTTTATGTGATTCCAAAACTTTTTCGCACTATTTCGCACTAAGGACTGGGGGTGTTACCTCATTCCCCATGTTTGCCATTAGATAAATAACTCCTGTAAATAACCAAGGCCTTCACCATTTTTTGGCCTGAATTTTCATACCATCAATGGCAAATTCCCTTTCCAGGTTCAAGGGTAACGGTGAGGCTACAAGGTCCATTGAGTGAAAACGGTACTGGTCGTGTCGAAATATATCGCAATGGAACCTGGGGGACAATCTGCGATGATGGATGGAATATCAGAGATGCTAGAGTTGTATGTCGTCAACTTGGCTATCCCCTTGCTGTCAGAGCGCTTAAAGGTGACCAGGTTCCTTCAGGTTCTGGACCGATATGGTTAGATGACGTCGTTTGTAGTGGGAAAGAACAGAACATAGGAAGTTGCATGCATGATGGATGGGGGAATAGCGATTGCGAACACAACGAAGACGCCGGAGTAGAATGCAGTTCTGCAGGTAAAATTTAACTGCCGACTAAATGAGAATCAGGTAGCTAACAGTATAAATATCAATAAGTAATTAAGCTTGTATGTACACCACGTAAGTATATAATACTGCAAAGCTTTCGGGCCTTCATCAGTGAATAAATTGCTACTGCTTTTCATTTTCTTTCAAGTTGTTGCCGGTAAACCTGGATCAATAAGATTACAAGGGCCATCGAGTGCAAACGGAAAAGGGCGCGTTGAAGTGCTCCACGGTGGACAATGGGGGACGATCTGTGACGACGAGTGGGATATCAATGACGCCAGAGTTGCATGTCGTCAACTTGGTTATTCTGATGCAGTCAGACCACTTCAAGGGGGGCAGATTCCTGCTGGTTCTGGACCCATTTGGTTAGACGACGTCATATGTACGGGTGAAGAACAAGTTATAACAAGTTGTTCTCACCGTGGATGGGGTAACCAGGATTGCAAACATTCGGAGGACGCAGGAGTAGTTTGTAATACGACAGGTAAAGCTACGTCCAGGCTATATCTTCTTAGTAAGCCTTGTTTTCCTGCAGCTGGTTGTTTCAAAGATGGATAGTTGAATTTAAACGAGTTTTAGGACCATTTCCCAATGATTGTCTACAAAGGCTAATTATTTAACCAAACATTTTCACTCTACCACTATTTCACGGTGGAAGTATCAAGTATGCATTGGAGACTACATTTCTTTTCGTTAATCCTCAATGAAAGCCTTTTTCATAGAAAGTTACATAGCATGTGATAACCTCAGTCTTTCCAACCGTCATTATTTCTGTTTTTTCATCATTGTGTAAAGACCGCTATTTTCTAGTAAATATTTTAATGTTAGCATAATCAGTTCAATATTTCAATACCAGATAATTCGAAAGAATTTTTTAAGATTTCTTTAGGCATCTTTATCATCCTAAACTTGATTATTCTAAGCTTTTAATCTTAGAATTACGTTTCGTAAATCTTATAACAATAATAAAACTATATTTCCGTTTGCTTTTAACTCGTTAATTGGCTTTTCTCCTTCTTTTTCTTCATCTGGACTAACTTTAAAAGGTTTTGAAGTGAAATATACGATTTTACTTCTCATGCCCTCATGATTCTGTAGTTGATCATTAATAAATATTGAAATTATCACCTCATTCCTTTAAGTTCTTCCCAAGCCTGGTTCACTCAGGTTACAAGGTCCTTTGAGTGCGAATGGTACTGGTCGAGTTGAAGTATTCTACGAGGGAGAGTGGGGGACAATCTGTGATGATGAATGGGGTTTTGAGGATGCCAAAGTTGCATGTAGACAACTTGGCTATTTAGATGCCCGTGAAGCTCTTCATGGTGACCGAGTTCCATCTGGTTCTGGACATATTTTGTTGGATGGAGTCTCGTGTACTGGAATAGAAAGAAATTTAACAAGTTGTTCTCATCAAGGATGGGGAATTCACGATTGCAGCCATTCTGAAGACGCTGGTGTTCAGTGCTTTACAGCAGGTAAAGTTCTAGAAAGTATTTAGACAGACAAATCGTACATGTAAAAGTTTATAACAAAAATAATCGTTCTAGATACTTATTTAAGATCACTTACGCTAATTTTTGCAAACCGGTTATAAGGTTTTGAAAAATTCCAAGAGGGATTGCTTTAATTGTTAGTAATTACATGCTTAGAACCCAGGAGGAAGATATTGTGCAACAATACACATTGGGGACGGAAGTTCAAATACCTGAATCTTAGTTCCCATAAATAATAGTAAATACTTTATCATGATTTTAATTTCGTCTCGTTAAACCGACTTTTCCAGTTTTAATGCGATTTTATACGAGAAATAAGACGTTGTCTTTCCATACCTCACACATGTAATTTTGTGGTTCAAAAATTAAAATTTGCTACCTCTGACTCTACCATGACCCGTTTGGCCGTGAACTCAATTAGCTCGGGATATTCTCTCAAGCTCTTTCAGATAAACATGGGACATTGAGATTACAAGGGCCATTGAGTACAGTTGGACAGGGTCGCCTCGAAGTGTTCTACCTTGGAGAATGGGGAACAATCTGCGATGATGAATGGGATATAAATGATGCCAGGGTTGCTTGTCGTCAGCTTGGTTATTCCGATGCTGTTAGATCGCTTTCTGGATATCAGGTTCCTTCCGGTACTGGACCTATATGGTTAAACGACGTTGGTTGTATTGGAAAAGAACTAAATATATCAAGCTGCTCTCACGCAGGATGGGGCATTGGATATTGCGGGCATTCGGAAGATGCTGGGGTAGAATGTAAAACAACAGGTATCGGAGTCAAATACTACGTATACACCTTTTGTTTCCACATGTGTCGAACCGTTAAAATCGCTCCCCGTAGTCCTAAATTGCTGCCCGCACTTCTGTGGGTGGCCATGTTTTTGCGTAAACAAATACTCCAGCAAATATTATTATGAAAATTTGATACCCTCCTGCAACTTAAATTTATGGCTACAACATAAATTCATTACAGATTTTGAAGTTACTGGTAATCAATCGCAAACACTGAGGTTACGAGGGCCATCAAGTGCAAATGGAACAGGTCGTGTTGAAATTTTCCACAAAGGACTATGGGGGACAATTTGTGAATATGGTTGGGGTATACATGATGCTAGGGTTGCATGTCGTCAACTTGGATACCCGGATGCATTTAGGCCTCTTACTGGAGGCGACGTACCTTCTGGATCTTCTGGAGTTATTTGGTTAAGTTACGTTCGTTGTTCTGGCCGGGAACAAAATCTGACAAGTTGTTCTCACAATGGTTGGGGAAATACTGACTGCTCGAATTCTCAAGACGCTGGAGTAGAATGTAGTACATCGGGTAAGGCATTTGAGAAAAATTCTTCTCATTTCATTTCCTACCAATCAGGTAATTTTCGATGGATTGTATGCACGTGAACATTCATTTGGTTTTATTTAACCAAAATCCAAGGTCGAACGAGGATTCACAATAGTTTTGGCAACCGTACGTACAACAAAATAATCGTGTTTACTGCGGAGACTTTTTTGCTCGTATAGTGGTGTAGCCATCAATATTTGGGGGGTGGGCAATATTCATATATCCATGTTAAGTGAATGTAATTAAGGACAATAGAATTTCAAAAGAAATTGAAGATGCAGAACATGAATATATATGTATTCAATTATTCGACTTAAATTTCTAAAGACTTGATCTTCAAAAAACTGTTTCATTTTTAGCTTTTCGGCCCAATACCAGTACGAGTCCATTCGAGAACGAAAAATTCCGACAAATTTTCATCAGTCAATACGGTTTACAACTATTAGCACTACCTACTGATTACTTTTTTAGCACTACCTACTAATTACTTTTAAGTTTAGTTTGACTACACAGTTCCATAACCTTAGAAATAATTTTTAATTTATATCAAATTTATACCATCATTGACCTGATATATTCGTAAATACTTTAAAGCTCTTGCAGATACGCCGGTTATACTGAGGTTACAGGGACCATCGAGTGCAAATGGAACAGGTCGTGTTGAAGTACTGTACAATGGAGAATGGGGAACAATTTGTGATTATGGTTGGAGTTTAAGAGATGCCAGGGTGGTATGCCGACAACTTGGCTATCCAGGCGCCTTTAATGCTCTTCAAGGCGGGGAGGTTCCATCAGGTTCTGGACGAATATGGTTATCTTATGTCAATTGTAATGGAGACGAACAAAATATAACAAGTTGTTTTCGTAATGGATGGGGAAATCAACAATGTGAACATGACAAAGACGCTGGAGTTAAATGCGCAACAGCAGGTAAACATGTTGTATATTTGGTATGCGTAGTTACAATGGATTGTGAAATTATTTGAGTAAATGGTGCGCGCTTTTCATTTCAAGAATTTTTACGATTTCTTTTTTCGAATTTTGGACAAAATCTTCTTTAAATAATAACACTTGAATTTTTAATTTTCCCAGACCCGCATCTACCACTTAGGTTACAAGGGCCATTGAGTGCCAACGGCACCGGTCGCGTCGAAGTATTTCACAATGGAGAGTGGGGGACGATCTGCGATGATATTTGGGATTTAGAACATGCTATAGTTGTGTGTCGTCAACTAGGGTATCCAGATGCCATTGCGAAACTTGATGGGGGGCAGGTTCCATCTGGTTCTGGGCGTATTTGGTTAGATAACGTCGCTTGCACTGGGAAAGAGGAGAATATAGCAATGTGTGATCATAATGGTTTGGGAGTAAACGATTGCTCACATTCTGAGGACGCTGGAGTAAAATGTGGAGGAACAGGTAAAATGACAAAAAACTCTTGAATGGAAAGATCATTCTGGAATCACTTCTAGGGAGCTTTATTGCGTCTTTTTCCAATTTTAAAATGTATTCCAGTAATGGTTTAGAGCAGGCAAAACAAATAACAACAGCAAAAATCCTGGGGCAGGTTGTACGAAGGTTGGATAGCGCCATCCACCGGATAATGATTTTTTTAACCGTTCTAAAAATGCTTCAATGACAATAAAATTTCAGCCTTTGAACCAAATATTATCAAAGAGGATTCTTAACTTAGGAATACTACGATTTAATAATTCCTATTATTACTAATTCCTTTAGTTATTCCTAATAGCGAGCGATTTTGAAGCGATTGAAAAAAAAACACACTATCCGGTGGATAGCGCTATCCGGCTTTCATACAACCGCCCCTAGGTATTTTAGGAATTCAAAATATGCGTTCGAAACCAATTTATTGCCTACATACGATACGAGATCGTGTTTACACGATACCTTAGTCAATTATGCCGTTCTGGGCTTTTTCCACGATAGGTGCAAAGTCAAATAACATTTTTTCAAGAACAAGGTCGAATGAGACTTTTTTAAAGCCTGTTTTCCACTAGGCGAAATTTTGCGCGCGGAGCGGGATTTTTCTTTGTTTTTCTCACATTTGATCACACTGGATGCAAGAGTGTTTGCTTCCATTATTGGGACTTAAACCTTGTATAATGGAATCAATTCGTAGTTACCATGCAATCAACTACCAGTAGGAAATGTGTATCTTAATCTAACCATACATCCTTTTTAGTAATAATACTCTGTTCAGCAAGAATTTCGTGCCGTTTTCAAGCACTGTGTACCTCTCTGCCACAATACAAGTACAAAAATTATTAAATTCATACAAAAATTTCTCAAAAAAAAAATTGCAAGTGAGATGATTCACGTCAGGTTGAGTTTATGAGAGGGAATGCTTAAATTGTTAATAAATACATGCCCAGAATCCGCGAGGAACATAATGTGCAACAGTTCACATAGGGGACAGAAGTTCTAATACCCGTCTCTTAGTTCCAATAAATAAATACTTTATCATGATTTTAATGTTATCTCTTTTCTCGTTAAACCAACTTTTCCAGTTTTAATCCGATTTTATACGAGAAATAAGACGTTGCTTTTCCATACCTCACACCTTTTGTCGTTGTAATTTTGTCGTTCGAAAATTAAAATTCGCTACCTCTGACTTTACCATGATTCGTATGGCCGTGAACTCAATTAGCTCGGGATATTCTTTCAAGGTCTTTCAGATAAACATGGGACATTGAGATTACAAGGGCCATTGAGTACAACTGGAAGAGGACGTGTTGAGGTATTCTACCGTGGAGAATGGGGAACAATCTGCGATGATGAATGGGATATAAATGACGCCAGGGTTGTATGTCGTCAACTTGGTTATTCAGATGCTCTTAGATCACTTTCTGGAGATCAGGTTCCTTCCGGTACTGGACCTATATGGTTAGATAACGTTGGTTGTATTGGAAAAGAACTAAATATATCAAGCTGCTCTCACGCAGGATGGGGCACTGAAGATTGCAGCCATTCGGAAGACGCTGGGGTAGATTGCAAAATAACAGGTATCGTAGTCACATACTAATGCAGCTTTTGTTTTCACTTGTGTCAAACCGTTGAATTGTTATCTCTTTTCTCGTTAAACCGACCTTTCCAATTTTAATCCGATTTTATACGAGAAATAAGACGTTGCTTTTCCATACCCTCACACCTTTTGTCGTTGTAATTTTGTGGTTCAAATATTAAAATTCGCTACCTCTCACTCTACCATGACCCATTTGGCCGTGAACTCAATTAGCTCGGGATATTCTTTCAACCTCTTTCAGATAAACATGGGACATTGAGATTACAAGGGCCATTGAGTACAATTGGACAGGGTCGTCTCGAAGTGTTCTACCGCGGAGAATGGGGAACAATCTGCGATGATGAATGGGATATAAATGATGCCAGGGTTGCTTGTCGTCAACTTGGTTATTCAGATGCTCTTAGATCACTTTCTGGAGATCAGGTTCCTTCCGGTACTGGACCTATATGGTTAGATAACGTTGGTTGTATTGGAAAAGAACTAAATATATCAAGCTGCTCTCACGCAGGATGGGGCACTGAAGATTGCAGCCATTCGGAAGACGCTGGGGTAGATTGCAAAATAACAGGTACCGTAGTCACATACTAATGCAGCTTTTGTTTTCACTTGTGTCAAACCGTTAAAATCGTTACCCGGAGTCCTAAATTGCTGCCGGCACTTCTGTGGGTGGCCATGTTTTTGCGCAAAGAAATACTCCAGCAAATAATATGAAATTTGATATCCTCCTCCGACTTAAATTTATGGCTAGAACATAAATTGATATCTTTATTGTTACAAATTTTGAAGTTACTGGTAATCAATCGCAAACACTGAGGTTACGAGGGCCATCAAGTGCAAATGGAACAGGCCGTGTTGAAATATTCCACAAAGGACTATGGGGGACAATTTGTGATGATGGTTGGGATATAAATGATGCTAGGGTTGCATGTCATCAACTTGGTTACCTGGATGCAGTTAGGCCTCTTACTGGAGGCGACGTGCCTTCTGGATCTTCTGGAATTATTTGGTTAAGTTACGTCCGTTGTTCTGGCGGGGAACAAAATCTAACAAGTTGTTATCACAATGGTTGGGGAGATAATGCGTGCTCGCATTCTGAAGACGCTGGAGTAGAATGTAGTACAACAGGTAAAGGATTTAAGAAAAATAGTAGGAAAAGAAAAATTTAACCAGACACAGTACTAAAATGCGGTGCCCGCAATGCTTGCCTAGAAATAAAACGTCCGCTCATTTCTAACGACATCACCAACTTACATTCTCCTGTCGGCCGCAGCCTGCCTGGTTGGTTGGTACATTAAGGTCAAAATTGCGCCGTTTTAAAATCTTCAGAAATAAAATATTTAGGCTAAAAATACTATCTAAAAATACTATCAAAATGAAGAGAAACGTGAGACGAATAAACTGGTGTAGAGCCGGAAACGAGAAAAGCAACGATACAGAAGTCAAGGATTAAGCGTACTGCATTTTTAATTTGTTTAATAATTTTGAGCGATTTGTCATAAAGTTCGCTTATTGAAACTATACTTTAAAACCTTCGAAGTAGAATATATTTGGCTCAAAGTACTATAAAATAAATCGTAATGTAAGACCGATCACTTATTTAAGGACGAAAATTAAAAGAGAAAACCAACGATATGAAAGATATCAAAGACCAAACTTACTATTACTAGTAAAGTATAGCATAGTAATTTTGAGCGATTTGTCAACAATTCAATTTCGTTTGTCTTTCAAACGTCATAAATCGCTGCGAATACTCTTGTTTAGTAATATATTTAAGAACTGTAAGTATAATTTCTTACGCTGAATCGAATGGTGGTATTTTTGTCCTTCTTGGGTGCATAAAAGCAGAGATACACGCAATTATCAGAGTTTGAGATTGAAATTGAAAAAAGAACGTTCCTTTAAAAAAGGAATTTGGCAAACGTACAACAAGATTAATAGTAATAATTAGGAAAAAATTCCAAGCATTCCAAGCATTCCAAGCATGTGCAAGGAATTTTTTCTAGACGATTAAGGAAACGTATTGATGCGAACAAACAAACTCACAGGCAGAATATAATGCGGTGCCAAACTTGGCGCGGGCACCGCAATTTGCTACTATTCAGTTGATATTCGATTGATTTTATGCACGTGAACATTCATGTTTTATTTAACCTAAATTCAAGGTCGAGTGAGGATTCACAATAGTTTTGGCAACCGTACGTACAATAAAATAATCGTGTTTTCTGCGGAGACTTTTCTTGCTCGCAGTGGCACATGTTAAGTGACTGCAAGGACAATAGATTTCAAACGAAATTGATAATGCAGAACATGAATATATGAATATCGCCCTCCTCAAGCTGGCTACGCCACTACTTGCTCGCCATCTGAATATTCAATTATATGACTTGAATTTCTAAAGACGCAATCTTCATAAAACTGTTTCATTTTTAGCTCTCCGGACCAATACCGGTACGAGTCCTGTCGAGAACGAAAAATTCCGAAACATTTCCATAAGTCAACACGGTTTACAACTGTTAGCACTACCTACTGATTACTTTTTTACACTACCTACCTTTTACTTTTAAGTTTAGTTTGACTACTGAATTCCATAACCTTGAAAATAATTTTCAATATATATCAAATTTTTACCATCATTGACCTGATATTTTCTCAAATACTTTAAAGTTCTTGCAGATAAGCCGGTTATACTGAGGTTACAGGGGCCATCGAGTGCAAATGGAACAGGTCGTGTTGAAGTACTGTACAATGGAGAATGGGGAACAATTTGTGATAATGATTGGAGTTTAAGAGATGCCAGGGTGGTATGCCGACAACTTGGCTATTCAGGCGCCTTTAATGCTCTTCAAGGCGGCGAGGTTCCATCTGGTTCAGGGCGAATATGGTTATCTTATGTCGGTTGTACTGGGGAAGAGCAAAATATAACAAGTTGTTCTCATAATGGATGGGGAAATCAACAATGTGAACATGACAAAGACGCTGGGGTTATATGCGCAACAGCAGGTAAAGATGTTGTATATTTAGTATACGTAACTACAATGGATTGTCGAATTTTTGAGGAAATGGTGCACGCTCTCATTTCAAGAATTTTTACAGTTTCTTTTTTCGAATTTTTTGCAAAATTTTTTTTTAATAATAACATTTCAATTTTCAATTTTCGCAGACCCGAATTTACCACTAAGATTGAGTGCCAACGGCACCGGTCGTGTCGAAGTATTTCACAATGGAGAGTGGGGGACGATCTGCGACGATTATTGGGAATTAGAACATGCTATAGTTGTGTGTCGTCAACTAGGGTATCAAGATGCAATTGCAAAACTTGATGGGGGGCAGGTTCCATCTGGTTCGGGGCGTATTTGGTTAGATAACGTCGCTTGCACTGGGAAAGAGGAGAATATAGCATTGTGTGATCATAATGGTTTAGGAGTAAACGATTGCTCACATTCTGAGGACGCTGGAGTAAAATGTAGAAGAACAGGTAAAGTGACAAAAAAAACTCTTGAATGGAAAAATCATTCTGGAATCAATTGTAGAGAGCTTTATTGCGTCTTTTTCCAATTTTAAAATGTATTCCAGTAATGGTTTAGAGCAGGCAAAACAAAAAACAACAGCAAAAATCCTGGGGCAGGTTGTACGAAGGTTGGATAGCGCCATCCACCGGATAATGATTTTTTTAACCGTTCTAAAAATGCTTCAATGGCAATAAAATTTCAGCCTTTGAAACAAATATTATCAAAGAGGATCCTTAATTTAGGAATACCACGATTTAATCAAAGTTATTCCTAATAGCGGGCGATTTTGAAGCGATTGAAAAAAAACAACACACTATCCGGTGGATAGCGCTATCCGGCTTTCATACAACAGGCCCCAGGTATTTCAGGAATTCAAAATATGCGTTCGAAACCAATTTATTGCCTACATACGATACGAGATCGTGTTTACACGATACCTCTCTCAACTATGCCGTTCCGGGATCTTTTCACGATAGGTGCAAAGTCAAATGAGGTTTTTTCAAGAACAAGGTCGAATGAGGCTTTTCTAAATCCTGGTTTCAACTAGGCAGAATTTTGCGCGCGAAGCGGAATTTTTCTTTGTTTTTCTCACATTGGATCACACTGAATCCAAGATTGTTTGTTTCCATTATTTGGACTTATATATTAAACCTTGTATAATGGAATCAATTCGTAGTTACCTTGCAATCAAGGGAATGTGTATCTAACCATACATCCTTTTTAGTAATAATACTCTGTTCAGCAAGAATTTCGTGCCGTTTTCAAGCACTGTGTACCTTTCTGCCACAATACAAGTACAAAAATTATTAAATTCATACAAAAATTTCTCAAAAAAAAAATTGCAATTGAGATGAATGACGTGAGGTTAAGATAGCTTATGAGAAGGAATGCTTAAATTGTTAATAATTACATGCCCAGAATCCGCGAGGAACATAGTGTGCAACAGTTCACATAGGGGACAGAAGTTCAAATACCCGACTCGGCTTAGTTCCAATAAAAATATACTTTATCATGATTTTAATGTTATCTCCTTTTCGTTAAACCGACTTCTCCAGTTTTAATCCGATTTTGTACGAGAAATAAGACGTTGCCTTTCCATACCCTCACACCTCTTGTCGTTGTAAATTTGTCGTTCGAAAATTAAAAATCGCTACTTCTGACTTTATCATGAGTCGTATCTGTGAACTCAATTAGCTCGGGTATTCTTTCAAGATCTTTCAGATAAACATGGGACATTGAGATTACAAGGGCCATTGAGTACAATTGGAAAGGGTCGTCTCGAAGTGTTCTACCGTGAACAATGGGGAACAATCTGCGATGATGAATGGGATATAAATGATGCCAGGGTTGTTTGTCGTCAACTTGGTTATTCAGATGCTCTTAGATCGCTTTCTGGAGATCAGGTTCCTTCCGGTAGTGGACCAATATGGTTAGATAACGTTGGTTGTATTGGAAAAGAACTAAATATATCAAGCTGCTCTCACGCAGGATGGGGCATTCAAGATTGCAGCCATTCGGAAGACGCTGGGGTAGAGTGTAAAACAACAGGTATCGTAGTCACATACTAATGCAGCTTTTGTTTTCACATGTGTCAAGCCCGTTAAATGCGGTCCCCGTAGTCCTAAATTACTGCCGGCACTTCTGTGGGTGGCCATGTTTAATGTTTTTGCGTAAACAAATACTCTACCAAATATTATTATGAAAATTCGATACCCTCCTGCAACTTAAAATTATGGCTACAACATAAATTCATTACAGATTTTGAAGTTACTGGTAATCAATCGCAAACACTGAGGTTACGAGGGCCATCGAGTGCAAATGGAACAGGTCGTGTTGAAATATTCCACAAAGGACTATGGGGGACAATTTGTGAACATGCTTGGGGTATAAATGATGCCAGGGTTGCATGTCGTCAACTTGGGTACCCGGATGCAGTTAGGCCTCTTACTGGAGGCGACGTACCTTCTGGATCTTCTGGAGTTATTTGGTTAAGTTACGTCAGTTGTTCTGGCCGGGAACAAAATCTAACAAGTTGTTCTCATATTGGTTGGGGAAATAATGCCTGCTCGCATTCTCAAGACGCTGGAGTAGAATGTAGTACAACAGGTTAAGCATTTAAAAAAATTCCTCTTATTTTATTTCTTACTATTCAGTTAATTTTCGGTTGATTTTATGCACGTGAACATTCATGTTTTATTCAACCCAAATTCAAGGGCGAACGAGGATTCATTTGGCAAACGTACGTTCAATAAAATATTCGTGTTTACTGCGGATATTTTTCTTGCTCGCAGCGGCGTTGCAATCGATAATTGGGGGGTGGGCAATATCCATATTTTCATGTGAAGTGACTGCAAGGACAATAGATTTCAAAAGAAATTGATAATGGAAAACATGAATGTATGAATATCGGCGCCCAATTATCGATGCTGGCTACGCCAGTGCTTGCTCGACATCTGGATATTCAATCATATGACTTGAATTTCTAAAGACGCAATCTTCATAAAACTGTTTCATTTTTAGCTCTCTGGACCAATACCGGTACGAGTCCAGTCGAGAACGAAAAATTCCAACAAATTTCCATCAGTCAACACGGCTTACAGTTGTTAGCACTACCTATACTGATTACTTTTTTTAACACTACCTATGGATTATTTTTAAGTTTAGTTTGACTACTAAAGTCCATAACCTTAAAGTATTTTTAATTTATATCAAATTCATACCATCATTGACCTGATATATTCTCAAATACTTCAAAGTTCTTGCAGATACGCCGGTTACACTCAGGTTACAAGGGCCATCGAGTGCAAATGGAACAGGTCGTGTTGAAGTACTGTACAATGGAGAATGGGGAACAATTTGTGATAATGGTTGGAGTTTAAGAGATGCCAGGGTGGTATGCCGACAACTTGGCTATTCAGGCGCCTTTAATGCTCTTCAAGGAGGCGAGGTTCCATCAGGTTCTGGACGAATATGGTTATCTTATGTCGATTGTACTGGAGAAGAACAAAATATAACAAGTTGTTCTCATAATGGATGGGGAAATCAACAATGTGAACACGACAAAGACGCTGGAGTTAAATGCGCAACAGCAGGTAAAGAAGTTGTTTATTTAGTAAGCGTAATTACAATGGATTGTGGAATTTTTGAAGAAAAGGTGCGCGCTTTCATTTCAAGAATTTTTACGGTTTCTTTTTTCGAATTTTTGTGCAAAATCTTTTTTTAATAATAACATTTCAATTTTCAATTTTCGCAGACCCGAATTTACCACTAAGATTACAAGGGCCATTGAGTGCCAGCGGCACCGGTCGTGTCGAAGTATTTCACAATGGAGAGTGGGGGACGATCTGCGATGATAATTGGGATTTAGTGCACGCTAGGGTTGTGTGTCGTCAACTAGGGTATCCAGATGCCATTGCAAAATTTGATGGGGGGCAGGTTCCATCTGGTTCGGGGCGTATTTGGTTAGATAACGTCGCTTGCACTGGGAAAGAGGAGAATATAGCAATGTGTCATCATAATGGTTTGGGAGTAAACGATTGCTCACATTCTGAGGACGCTGGAGTAAAATGTAGTAGAAGAGGTAAAGTGACAAAAAAACTCTTGAATAGAAGGATCATTCTGGAGTCAATTGTAGGGAGGCTTATTGGGTCTTCTTTCAATTTCGAAATGTATTCCAGTAACGGTTTAGAGCAGGCAAAACAAATAACAACAGCAGACATCCTGGGGCCGGTTGTATACGATTGTTGGATTGCGCTATCCACTGGATAGTGATTTTTTTCAACCGTTCTAAAAATGCTTGAAAAGCAAGAAAATTTCAGGTTTGGAACCAACAATTATTAAAAAGGATTCTCAATTTAGGAATACTAGGATTTAATCAAAGTTATTCCTAACAGCGGGCGATTTTGAAGCGATTGGAAAAAAACACACTATCCATGCAGTGGATAGCGCTATCCGGCTTTGATAGAACAGGCCCGAGGAATTTTTGGAATTCAAAATATGCGTTCGAAACCAATTTATTGCCAACATACGATACGAGTTCGTATTTACACGATGCCTTTCTCAACTATGCCGTTCCAGGCTCTTTCCACGATAGGTGCAAGGTCAAATGAGGTTTTTTCGAGAACAAGGTCGAATGAGGCTTTTCTAAAGCCTGTTTTCCACTAGGCGGAATTTTGCGCGCGGAGCGGAATTTTTCTTTGTTTTTCTCACATTGGATCACACTGGATCCAAGATTGTTTGCTTCAATTATTTGGACTTAAACCTTGTACAATGGAATCAATTCGTAGTTACCATGCAATCAAGGGAATGTGTATCTAACCATACATCCTTTTTATTAATAACACTCGATCTGTTCAGCAAGAATTTCCTGCCGTTTTCAAGCACTGTGTACCTCTCTGCCACAATACAAGCGCAAAAATTAATAAATTCATACAAAAAATTCTGAAAAAAAAATTATAAGTGAGATGATTGACGTGAGGTTGAGATAGATCATGAGAGGGAATGTTTTAATTGTTAATAATTACATGTCCAGAATCCGCGAGGAACATAATGTGCAACAATTCACATAGGGGACAGAAGTTCAAATACCCGACTCTTAATTCTAATAAATAAATACTTTATCATGATTTTAATGTTATCACTTTTCTCGTTAAACCAACTTTTCCAGTTTCAATCCGATTTTGTATGAGAAATAAGACGTTGCCCTCCCATACCTCACACCTCTTGTCGTTGTAATTTTGTCGTTCGAAAATTAAAATTCACTACTTCTGACTTTATCATGAGTCGTATCTGTGAATTCTACTAGCTCGGGTATTCTTTCAAGGTCTTTCAGATAAACATGGGACATTGAGGTTACAAGGGCCATTGAGTACAATTGGAAAGGGTCGTCTCGAAGTGTTTTACCGTGAAGAATGGGGGACAATCTGCGATGATGAATGGGATATAAATGATGCCAGGGTTGTTTGTCGTCAACTTGGTTATTCAGATGCTGTCAGATCGCTTTCTGGAGATGAGGTTCTTTCCGGTACTGGACCTATATGGTTAGACGACGTTGGTTGTATTGGAAAAGAACTAAATATATCAAGCTGCTCTCACGCAGGATGGGGCATTGAAGATTGCAGCCATTCGGAAGACGCTGGGGTAGAGTGTAAAACAACAGGTATCGTAGTCACATACTAATGCAGCTTTTGTTTTCACATGTGTCAAGCCCGTTAAATGCGGTCCCCGTAGTCCTAAATTACTGCCGGCACTTCTGTGGGTGGCCATGTTTAATGTTTTTACGTAAACAAATACTCTAGCAAATATTATCATCAAAATTTGATACCTCCTGCAACTTAAATTTATGGCTACAACATAAATTCATTACAGATTTTGAAGTCACTGGTAATCAATCGCAAACACTGAGGTTACGAGGGCCATCGAGTGCGAATGGAACAGGCCGTGTTGAAATATTCCATAGGGGACTATGGGGGACAATTTGTGAACATGGTTGGGGTATAAATGATGCCAGGGTTGCATGTCGTCAACTTGGGTACCCGGATGCAGTTAGGCCTCTTACTGGAGGCGACGTACCTTCTGGATCTTCTGCAGTTATTTGGTTAGTTATGTCCGTTGTTCTGGCCGGGAACAAAATCTAACAAGTTGTTCTCACAATGGTTGGGGAAATAATGCCTGCTCGCATTCTCAAGACGCTGGAGTAGAATGTAGTACAACAGGTAAAGCATTTAAGAAAAATTCCTCTTATTTCATTTCCTACTATTTAGTCAATTTTCGGTTAAGTTTATGCACGTGAACATTCATGTTTTATTCAACCCAAATTCAAGGTCGAACGAGGATTCACAATAATTATATAGTTTTGGCAACCGTGTGTACAATAAAATTATCGTGTTTTCTGCCGAGACGTTTTTGCTCGCATGCAGTGGCGTAGCCATCGATAATTGGGGAGTGGGCAATATTCATGCATATATTCATGTTAAGTGACTGCAAAGAAAATATATTTCAAAAGAAATTGATAATGCAGAACATGAATATATGAATATCGGCGCCCAATTATCGATGCTAGCTACGCCACTGTTTGCTCGCCATCTGAATATTCAATTGTATGACTTGAATTTCTAAAGACGCAATCTTCATAAAACTGTTTTATTTTTAGCTATCCGGCCCAATACCGGTACGAGTCCATTCGAGAACGAAAAATTCCGACAAATTTTCATCAGTCAACACGGTTTCAACTCTTAGCACTATCTACTGATTAATTTTTTCTACCACTACCTACGGATTACTTTTAAGTTTAGTTTGACTACAGAGTCGCATAACCTTAAAAATAAATTTTAATTTATATGAAATATATGCCATCATTGAGCTGATATATTCTCAAATACTTTAAAGTTCTTTCAGATAAGCCGGTTATACTGAGGTTACAGGGGCCATCGAGTGCAAATGGAACAGGTCGTGTTGAAGTACTATACAATGGAGAATGGGGAACAATTTGTGATAATGATTGGAGTTTCAGAGATGCCAGGGTGGTATGCCGACAACTTGGCTATTCAGGCGCCTTTAATGCTCTTCAAGGCGGCGAGGTTCCATCAGGTTCTGGACGAATATGGTTATCTTATGTCGGTTGTACTGGAGAAGAACAAAATATAACAAGTTGTTCTCATAATGGATGGGGAAATCAACAATGTGGACATGACAAAGACGCTGGAGTTAAATGCGCAACAGCAGGTAAAGATGTTGTATATTTGGTATGCGTGATTACAATGGATTGTGAAATTATTTGAGTAAATGGTGCACGCTCTTAATTTCAAGAATTTTTACGAATTTCTTTTTTGGATTTTTTGGGAAAACCTTTCCTAGATAATAACTTTTCAATTTTCAATTTTCGCAGACCCGAATTTACCACTCAGATTACGGGGGCCATTGAGTGCCAACGGCACCGGTCGTGTCGAAGTATTCATAATGGAGAGTGGGGGACGATCTGCGATGATAATTGGGATTTAGTGGAGGCTAGGCTTGTGTGTCGTCAACTAGGGTATCCGGATGCCATTGCAAAACTTGATGGGGAGCAGGTTCCATCTGGTTCGGGGCGTATTTGGTTAGATAACGTCGCTTGCACTGGGAAAGAGGAGAGTATAGCAATGTGTCATCATAATGGTTTTGGGGTAAACGATTGCTCACATTCTGAGGACGCTGGAGTAGAATGTAGAAGAACAGGTAAAGTGAGAAAAAAAAGCTCTTGAATGGAAAAATCATTCTGGAATCAATTGTAGGGAGGCTTATTGCGTCTTCTTCCAATTTCAAATTGTATTCCAGTAACGGTTTAGAGCAGGCAAAACAGATAACATCCTGGGGCCGGTTGTATACGAATGCTGGATAGCGTTATTCACCGGATAGTGATTTTTTCAACCGTTCTAAAAATGCTTTAAAAGCAATAAAATTATAGCCTTGGAACCAACAATTATTAAAGAGGATTCTCAATTTAGGAATACTAGGATTTTAAGTTATTCCTAACAGAGGGCGATTTTGAAGCGATTTACCCGGACCCAGGTATTTTAGGAATTCAAAATTTTCGTTTGAAACGAATTTATTGCCTACATACGATGCGCGCACAAATTCTCTTTTCCAGAAAATGAAATTCATTTAGTTTGGCATTGATGCGAGTTGTTCATAAGCCAATAAATGAGTTATTGACAATTTTCTGATAAACAAGCAGTTATCCTCATATATTCCAGCGCCAGTTGTTTCATCGTCCGGAACTTATGAAGCTTCCACGCCTTTTCATTTCCCCTCAGACAATTCTTTTAGAGTTACCAATGAGATACAATTATTTCGTTTCTCGTTCACGAAGAATGCTATCAATTCTCTTAGTAACAGACTGATCATCCAATTCCTTCTAGCTTTTAAGCTAAGGTTACAAGGCCCATTGATTGAGAGTGGTATTGGTCGCGTGGAGGTATTATATAATGGACAATGGGGGACAATCTGTGATGATGACTGGGATATAAATGACGCGAAAGTTGTATGTCGCGAACTTGGTTATCCAGGTGCTCTCAATGCTCTTCAAGGCACCCGGGTTCAATCTGGTTCTGGACATATATTGTTAGATAGCGTCTCGTGCACTGGAACAGAAGAAAGTCTTGCACATTGTTCTCACCAAGGATGGAAAAATCATGATTGCAGCCATTCCGAAGACGCTGGTGTGCAATGCATGACGACAGGTAAAGCGAAAAAAATACTTCATGGTGTCGGTACGATGCGTCATTCAGACAAAGGTTGTATAAGCAGATATAGAGGGAGCCTGAGCAAAACGTTTCCGAGTTTAAATCCTTATTGTACGAATTTGTCATGCTAATAGTCATAATAATAATAATAATTTGTCATAATAATACGACATAATTATAAGTCAGTTGTTTTTTCATTCCAGCTATTGAAGTTACAGGGAATCTATCGCAAACACTCAGATTGGAAGGGCCATTGAGCGCAAATGGAACAGGCCGTGTGGAAGTATTATACCAAGGACTATGGGGGACAATCTGTGATGCTGGATGGGGAATCGAAGATGCTAGGGTGGTATGTCGTCAGCTTGGTTATCCGGATGCCGTAAGACATATTGTAGGAGGGCAAGACATTCGTTCGAGGCGTTTAGGACCCATTTGGCTATCTAACGTCGCTTGTACTGGCCAAGAACAAAATTTAACCAGTTGTCCTCATGATGGTTGGGGAAATAATGCTTGCCCTTATTACAGGGACGCTGGAGTAGAATGTAGTAGAACAGGTAATGCAGCATCAAACAGAAAGTGCTCACGCTTTGCCCAAAAAATATCTTCAACATTTTTGTCCATACTGGTTCCAAGATCGTTTTTTGGACTTAAACCTTGTATGATGCAATCAATTCCTAGTTACCATGCAATCAAGGGAATTTGTATCTAACCATACATTCTTTCTAGTGATAATACTCTGTTCAGCAAGAATTTCGTGCAGTTTTCAAGCACTGTGTACCTTTCTGCTACAATACAAATACAAAAATGATTAAATTCATACCAAAATTTCCGAAACAATTTCATCACGATTCACAACAGTGAATTCTCAGGCTGAATAGCAATCCTACCAGTTGTGTTTGCTTACATGAGTTAATGTTCCGTTTTTGATTACTGAGTTACATATCTTACTGGCTGTTCAATTGAGTTTCTAATTGTGTAATCCTCTCAGCCTAACTAGCATCTGACCAGATAATATTATATTCCAAAACGCTTTTTAGTTCTTGCAGATAAACCTTTGTCATTGAGGTTAAAAGGACCTTTGAGTGCAACTGGAACAGGACGGGTGGAAGTACTCTATAATGGACAGTGGGGAACAATTTGTGATCATGGCTGGGATTTAAGAGACGCGAAAGTTGCGTGTCGTCAACTTGGGTATCCATATGCTTTTAACATTCTTCGAGGTGGCGAGGTACCTTCTGGCTCTGGACGAATTTGGCTAACTAATGTCGCTTGCAATGGAGACGAACAAAATATAACAAGTTGCTTTCATTATGGATGGGGCTATCACGAGTGTGACCATAACAGAGACGCTGGAGTAATGTGTACAAGAACAGGTAGAGTTGTAGTGAACAGGGAAAAATTTCGTTTTTAACAGATCTGAAAAATTCCACATTTTCCAGGCTAATTAAGGTGGCACGTTACAGTATATTTAGTTGCGCTCTTGCGCGTGGAAACATTAATAACCTCGCGATATTTGTCTAGTTTTATTTTTGAACGCACTGCCAAGACCAGCGAGAAACAAACATAAATGCTGCTATCAGAATCAGAATAATCAGAACAACATACACGACGCGTGTTTGTTTCATGTGATGCGTGTTTTGGACCCGCGCGTGTAATTGCACACGTCATTAAAAAATCCTTAATATACATAACTGATTTTATATAACTGCATAAACCGCTTATCGATGGTCATGATGGTTCTTCAATTTTTTGCAGAGCCGAATCTGCCAATTAGGTTGCAAGGGCCACTAAATGCTACTGGTATTGGTCGTGTTGAAGTGCTTCATGACGGAGAGTGGGGCACAATCTGTGATGATCGCTGGGGATTTGATGATGCAAGGGTTGTTTGTCGTCAACTTGGTTTTTCAGATGCCGTGAGTGAACTCCCAGCGGGCGGTGTTCCACCTGGTTCTGGGCGTATTTGGTTGGATGAGGTTGCCTGTACTGGAGAAGAAGGAAATATAGCAATGTGTTTCCACAACGGTTATGGAAATGAAGATTGCACGCATTCTGAAGACGCCGGAGTAATATGCAGGAGTACAGGTAACGCTGGAGATGAAACTTTATAGAAAGGTCAGGTCAACTTTCTTGCCAAGTAAAGTAACACAGGAGAACATATATTCTATTTCTTTTATAATATAACTTAATAAAAAGATTTTGTACAAATATTATAATTCGATTTAATTACAAATTCTCATTACATCGCTTCATTCGATGTCAAGTTTGGAGGGAAAAGTCCCGTGTTTCTATACAGTGATAGAAACACGCTTATTGACCAATCAGCACGCGCGTACTATCAATGTTATATTATAATTTTTAATGATACATAGTTCGACTATACACCCTTTTTTATGCAACCGTACCGTTAAAAAGCGGTCACTCAGAAAATGTCCAACTTTATTTAGCCCAATGCAACATTTACGCCCTACTAATAATTGTATTCGGGAGCATACCTTGTTAAGTTAATTGTGGTAAAGTCACTTATGTTCAAATCATTTCTAAACGAATCTTGACTGATTAATTTCATCTCGCTACAAAAATAAATAACATTGTTCATTCCCTGCTATTTATTTAGCATGAATCCATATTTATTACAAATTATTTTCGTCCCGGCACTTCAGTGTACACCGTAAAAAATCAAGTTTTCCTTCCCAGGTACTTGGAATCAATCTGAAGCACTGAGGTTACAAGGACCACTAAGTGCAAACGGAACAGGTCGTGTTGAAGTGTTCTACAGAGGGCAATGGGGCACAGTCTGTGACAATGGGTGGGATTTCGAAGATGCTGTTGTTGCATGTCGTCAACTTGGGTATGCGGCTGCAATCAGATCCATATCTGGGAGAGAGGTTCTACCTGGTACTGGACCTGTTATGTTATCTCTCGTTGCTTGTAAGGGCCAAGAAGAGAAAATAACAAGTTGTGCTCATAATGGTTGGGGCAATAATGCCTGTTCACACTCTGAAGACGCCGGGGTAGAATGTAGTAAGACAGGTAATCTTGCCCATCGAAAGATCTTGTATATTTAATAACTTATTTGTTGAAATGAAACTGTAAAAGTTCTTTCTTGCTTTAGCTTTCCCCAGTATTTCACCAGTTCGTTGTCTCATTCCTTTAAAATATCAAAATCCATAACCTATTGATTGCTGAACTTTTCCTGATAATAGATCTAATCTAATCATCTTATTCCATTCCTTCAAGTTGTTACTGAGCCTGTTAAAGTGAGATTACAAGGTCCTCTGGATGTATATGGAATAGGTCGTGTAGAGGTATTCTACAATGGACAATGGGGGACAATCTGCGATGATGCATGGGATATGAATGCCGCCAAGGTGGTATGTCGCCAACTTGGATATTCAAGTGCTTTCAGATATCTCCAAGGCGGTCAGGTTTCATCTGGTACTGGACCCATACTTTTAGATGATGTCTCGTGTAATGGGACAGAACAAAATTTAGCAAGTTGTTCTCATCGAGGATGGGGAAATCATGATTGCACTCATTCCGAAGACGCTGGTGTGGAATGTCTCATAGAAGGTAAAGCTTTAATGAAATATAATTGTAATTAGGTATGCAAGAAGCAAAAATAATGTTGCAGATAGCAACGTGGAAGCCTCTTCGTATAACTTCTCATGAAATGTTGTCATGCAATTATATGAAACAGAAAAAAATCGCACTTCTCGATTTTCTCCCTCGGGGGCTTTTTCACGAGCATTGAAACATATGGCGAAACCTAGGAAGTTTTAAACTAAAATTTATCTTCTCCTAACGACGCAAGCATATTCGCAATATTCACATGCTTTGCTCTTATTAATAGCAAAGAGTTTCGGAGTTTGGTTATATATGCATGACTGCCTCTACGCATGGATATCACAATTTTGTCACTTACTCACACTTTGATGGGTGCAGACTCTACAGCATATAAATTTAGACTTTCTTCCACACAGCTGATGCTGATAATATATCGCAAACACTAAGGCTAAAAGGCCCATTAAGTGCAAATGGAACAGGTCGTGTTGAAGTATTTCATAATCGACTATGGGGAACAATCTGTGATGATGCATGGGATATCAAAGATGCCAGAGTTGTATGTCGTCAACTTGGTTATCCAGACGCAGTGAGATCTCTTGGTGCGGGTCAGGTGCCTCCAGGATTTCATGGAAATATTTGGTTATCTCACGTCAATTGTACTGGTAGAGAACAAAATCTAACAAGATGCTCCTATACTGGTTGGGGAAATACTGGTTGCTCACACTCTGAAGACGCTGGAGTAGAATGTAGTACAACAGGTACAATCGTACTAAATTGTAGTAAAAAACATCTATCTATAGAAGTTGTATTTCTTGACATTTTGAGTGACTTGCAAATGCTTAAATCAGACTGTGTCCGACTTGATAAAAACATGCTTGCCGCAAGGCGAGGCTGGCATCTGCGCACCAAAGGAAGATTCAAGTTTCCCGAGTTCAAGAATTTTCCAGTGAAATGTGTAAATCCCGGGGTCTGCAAGTATGTTTGTTTTCATTTCACGCTATTTCGGGGGGGGAAGTCTAAAAAGTTCCGTAATTTAGAGTTTGCAGTATATATATGTAATAGTATACAACAAAACAAACTTAGGCTTGAATTAGTACTAAGAAAGCTCTAAAATAATGCCCAATTTTTCAATGAGGAAGTGCACACACTCACAGGAAACATTAAACTTCAGTTAACCTTCCAGTGTTAAACTTCGGTGTTAAACTTCGGTTAACTTCGGTGTGTTAAACTTCAGTTAACTTCCAGTGGTAAACTTCGGTGTTAAACTTCGCCAGTGTTAAACTTTGGTTAACATGGTATACGTTAAGATGGTAACTATACAAACTTTGAACATGGTAAATGCAATCCTACTTTAACAAGGATTGCTGGCCTAATATGTTCCGGTGTTCTTTCAGTTCTTGAAGGTAAACCTGTACCACTGAGGTTACAAGGACCGTTGAGTGAGAATGGAACAGGTCGTGTTGAAGTACTTTACAATGGACAGTGGGGAACAATTTGTGACGCTGGATGGGATTTACGAGATGCTAAGGTTGCGTGTCGTCAACTTGGCTATTCGCATGCTTTTAATGCTCTTCAAGGGAGGGATGTTCGCTCTGGTTCCGGACAAATATGGTTAGCTAATGTCGATTGTTCTGGAAACGAAAAGAATATAACCAGTTGTACTCATTCTGGGTGGAAAAAGCACAGCTGCGAGCATACCCAAGACGCTGGAGTTGAATGCACGACAGAAGGTAAAGGAGTATTGCTATATATCTACAATTTTATTTGAAAAAGCATACGCATTCCAGATGTGAAAAGTAAACGTAGAAGGAAAGAAAGAGAGATAATATTTGCGAAAACAGCTCGTACTCTTAAAGACATGCCCTTCATGGTTTCAATACGATTTTCTCTAAAGCTTTTGTGTATATTATAAGAAATACTTTAAAATTTGGAAGATCACTCTACAAGTTATCAGTTTATAAGTTCTTAAAGAATGAAGAAAAGTCCTTCTAATAGATTGGAAGACCCTGAGAGGCTATTTGTATATGATACACGAGCAAATATCGTTTTCTTGAAATATAGCCGTTTGTCGACGGCATTCAAATCATTAAATGGCATGAGACTAGTTCATCATGCGCTCTTGGTTTTGATTGTTTTCAACATGATACCAAAAATCACTAACGTACTTTTCAAACAAACCACTCGCAACTGTAATATGAATTTACGTATTCTTTCCAATTTTTTCAGAACCGAATCTACCAGTACGGTTACAAGGGCCATTAAGTGCGAATGGTACTGGTCGTGTAGAAGTGTTCCACGACGGACAGTGGGGGACAGTTTGTGATGATGACTGGGATATGGATGATGCTAAAGTTGTCTGTCGTCAACTTGGATTTTCATATGCCCTCAGTAGATATGTAGCAGGTGATGTTCCATCTGGTACAGGGCCTACTTGGTTAGATAATGTCGCCTGTACTGGAGAAGAAAAAAACATAGCAATGTGTTACCACAACGGTTTGGGAAATGAAGATTGCACGCATTCTGAAGACGCCGGAGTAGAATGTAGTAATACAGGTAATCCAAGAGATTTTTGCAGTGTCAATTTGACGTTTTGAAGTTGAGCGTGGCATGAAATGCAAATAAGAATAAAAATGATTTTGCCTTTTTTGTACCCTAAATTCCTAGGAAAAACAATATCCTAAGAGTTTTCCTGTTTATCACCGGTTGAAACATTATCACGAAAACAAAACACCTCCTTTCAGATTCAGGAAAAAATTGTATTTTTAAACCCTTTTTCTGTTACATGCCATAGCTTCTGTAGCTTATATAGAACCTAGCTTTCAGTAATAGACCAGATTTCACACGAACCTAGTAAAAGCCTAGGTTTCACATGAACCTTATTCATTTTCCTCTTGATAAAGGCTGCGTGAATATTTATCAATGAAAATTGAGCTTCTTGTTGTAGCTAATCATTATTCTTTAAGATTATTCTTCAAAGGATGGATCGCTAAGGTTACAAGGTGATTTAAGTGCAAGTGGCATTGGCCGTGTTGAAATACTCTACGCAGGGCGGTGGGGAACGATATGTGATGATGAATGGGATATCAATGATGCTAATGTTGCATGTCGTCAGCTCGGTTACCCAGGTGCGGTCAGATCTATCGAAGGGTTGGACGTTCCTGACGGTGTTGGACCCATATTGCTAGATGACGTCTCGTGTAAAGGAACAGAACAAAATCTAACAAGTTGTTCTCACAGAAGATGGGGAAAACATGATTGCAGTCATCCTGAAGACGCCGGCGTTGAATGCACTACAACTGGTAAAGTTCAAGATAAGAGTAATGCGATTCTAAATTTAAAATAACGAATAATGCGTCATAGCAAGACACCCCGTGATTAAATTTGCATCACCAGCATGATTTTTTCAGCATGATTCGACGTGTTAACTCGACACCAAACTGAATGTGTATCGTATTACCACAAAAATACACCCAGAACATTGTTACTTCCCTGCTATGAATTATGAATCTAGATAACTATTTTTTTCTTCCTTGCACCTCAACGCATACCATATAAATTCCTGTGTTCAATCTCAGATACTTGGAATCAATCGCAAGCATTGCGGTTACAAGGTCCATTGAGTGCAAATGGAACAGGTCGCGTTGAAGTCTTCTACAGGGGTCAATGGGGAACAATCTGTGACGGTGGATGGGATTTCAAAGATGCTATTGTTGCATGTCGTCAACTTGGGTATGCGTTTGCAGTCAGATCGATTCCTGGGGGAGAGGTTCCTCCTGGCACTGGACCTGTTATGTTATCTAACGTCCGTTGCACTGGCCAAGAACAGAATATAAGAAGTTGTCCTCACAATGGATGGGCAAATAATGACTGCCCACATTCAAACGACGCTGGAGTAGAATGCGGTACAACAGGTATTTAATTGCGATAGAAAAACTCATACCCAGAAAGACACAGAAAGTAACGGCGACTTAAAATGAAAATATATAGGAAAATTTCGAATTTTTGAAAAGCTGAAAATCTTCATCTTTTGCTAATGAGAAGCAATTTTTTGCTAACGTACGCATTTTTTTAAGAGTACACGTTGTATAAAGGTTTGTTCACACGATCCAAGTTTGTCGGATCCAATTCACTTCTGACGTATGGAATGTAGTCTGTTACATGATATGCTTTGAGAAGCGTATTTCCATCGTATAAATTTATAGGTGACTATTGATTTTCCTGTATTTTGATTGGTCAAAATTCACTGTCTCTGAAGTGATATATAGTCACCGGCCGGTGACTATTTAGCTTTTTGTTGTTGTTTTTCACCTCGAAAATTTATACTAAAACAATTAGTCGCCTCAGGCTTGGTGATTATAAGCCTATATTAACTTCGCCTTGAGCTCATATAGAAACACAGAAATTTTCCCGCCGAAATTGACAAACGAAGTAATGTGATGAGAAATTGTAACTGAATCGAATTATAATGTTTGTACACAATCATTTTTCTTGAGTTATATTATAAACGAAATAGAAAACACTTTTTTTGTGGGAGTTTGGGAGCTCGAAATAACATGGCCTTACGGGCTCGTTTTTCCACTGATTATTTTCCGTTCTCCCAAACTCCCACGCGTTTTTCTACACTGACTGTTTGGAAGCATGGAAAATGTTTTCTATCTCTTAAAAATGACACACTTATACATACTTTTTTTCCAGGTGTTGCCGGCGAGCCGGGATCATTGAGATTACAAGGACCATTGAGTGCAACGGGTATAGGTCGTGTTGAAGTACTCTACAATGGACAATGGGGGGCGGTTTGTAATCGTGGGTGGCAAATAGGCAATTCTAAGGTTGTTTGTCGTCAACTTGGATATTCCGGTGTCATCAGAACTCTTTCAAGGGACGAGGTTCCTTCCGGTGATGGACCTATATGGTTATCTAACCTCCACTGCACAGGAGAAGAACAAAATATAACAGGCTGTGATCATAGCGGATGGGGAGATTATAATTGCGAAGGATACGAAAACTTTGGCGTGGAGTGTCAAACCACAGGTAAAACGACGGTAAATATTATAAGCAATGTAAGCCTGTCAGGGAAATAGTGTTTTCCAAAATGCTTCCCAGATGAATTTGAGAATGCAACGGAAGAAAAATGGATACTATGCACACAAGCGGTTATTCCACAGGTAGAGATTTAGTCCAGGTACCTACTAAAACATCTCTGCGAGAATTTCTGTTCCTTTTCTGCAAGCTTTCTACAGTCATTTAATTAAATACTGTATTACTTTACTTGATATGGAAAAGTTCACCATATTTATAAAGTCTTAAGCACCATTTTGTGTTTCTAAAGTTTTAGGCAATTTTTTTTCACTCTTTGCGAACGTGAAATTGTTAATGCCAGTTCTATTTACAAAATCACTATCAGTGATCCATTTTCACAATAAAGTTTTCATTTTTTCGCCTTACTAAAAAAATAATTGCGATTTTGCTGGTCAATTCCCTAATGATTCTAAAACTTTCATCTTGATTTACTTATAAGTTTCAGGAACACTGTTTTGTTGTTCAAAGCTCTTGCAAAGACCTCCTTACTAATATGATATAAATGCAGAAACATAATATATTTAGATATTTCCAGTTTATGTAGGTCGGCCTGGGTCACTGAGGTTACAAGGACCATCAAGTGCGAATGGCACCGGCCGTGTTGAAGTACTCTACAATGGACAATGGGGGACAATCTGTGATGATAATTGGGATATGAGAGATGCCAAGGTTGCATGTCGTCAACTCGGTTTTCCAGATGCTCACAGACCTCTTCGAGGTGGCCAGATCCGACCAGGCTCTGGTCGTATATTTTTAGATGAAGTTTCGTGTACCGGAACAGAACAAAACATATCAAGTTGTTCTCATAGTGGATGGGGAATTAGTGATTGCTCACATAACGAAGACGCTGGAGTAGAATGTAGCAGAACAGGTAGGTCCAGAAAAATGGTAAAGATTTAGAGAGCATAAAAGTTTTAAAGGTGGATTCGGGATAGGTTCGTCACCTTCCTCACACTTGACATGGCTATGACATGTCTATTGCTATTATAGTTATTGACGTTACTGGTAATCTATCGCAAATACTGAGGTTACAAGGACCATTGAGCGCAAATGGAACAGGTCGTGTTGAAATATTCTACAATGGCAAGTGGGGAACAATCTGTCAAGATGGTTGGGATATCAAAGATGCCAGGGTTGCATGTCGTCAACTTGGTTATCCTGATGCAGTAAGATCTCTTGGTGGGGGTTATGTTCCTTCAGGAACTGGGAATATTTGGTTGACTCAAGTCTCCTGTACTGGCAATGAACAAAGTATAACAAGCTGTTACCATGATGGATATGGAAATAATATTTGCTCACATAGTGAAGACGCTGGAGTAGAATGTAATACGGAAGGTAATTTGGCAACCGAAAAACTAATCATCCCATATTAAATGGCTCTTTTGCAGTTGATTTTCTGCTGCAGAGTTTGTTTAATTGTTTTGTTTCCCGTGATAATTCAGAATATACACTCCCTATTTTTCGCGTCTAGTTTCGGCACTACTTGAATTCAATATTGAATTTTTTTGGGGATGCTTCCTGGTAGAGGGTCTATGAAACTCTGAGGAATCTTTATGATTATTATAATGGTTCGAATTAAGAATTGATTTCCCGGTACCAAAGCTTTTCATGTTTGCATGCCTTTCAAATATTTCAGAGGTTTAGCGCGCTGAAAAGTACTCATCATTTATATAAGAATGTCCATTTAAGTTATTGCAGGAAGGCCAGTTTCCGTGAGACTTCGAGGCCCGTTGAGTGCAAATGGAACAGGTCGCGTTGAAGTGCTCTACAATGGACAATGGGGAACAATCTGCGATGATGGATGGGATATAAATGACGCCAGGGTTGCATGTCGTCAGCTTGGTTATCCTGATGCAATAAAGTCTCTTCGTGGGGGAGAGGTTCCATTTGGGTCTGGACCTATTTGGTTATCTTACGTAAACTGTATTGGCCAAGAACCGAATATAACAAGTTGTTCTAATAATGCTTGGGGAAATAATGCTTGCTCACATTCTGAAGACGCTGGAGTGGAATGTAGTACAACAGGTAATTTACCATACATTTTTAGTTGATAAGTAATAAGAATGAAATAGGAATGAAAATATAAGAATGAAAGCTAATTCAAAACTATTTTAATACAACTATTCCAAGTTTGATTATTTTGGCGATTCCCCGTTGTCTTGATCTAATAAAGCTCTTATCTCAGTGCCCATATTAATTCTCTTTCAAACAAAGTAAACTATAACAAATAGCAAACTAATTGGTGAATAAAGTCATTACTTCAATGTGTGCAGCACATTTGGAATTTTGCTTTCATCTTCAGACTAATTAAATGATAACGTTACAATATTCAGAAATAGGTCCTGTTAAAATCAGGTTACGAGGTCCTTTAAGTAGACTTGGAAAAGGTCGTGTTGAAGTGTTGTTCCAAGGACAATGGGGGACAATTTGTCGTGATGAATGGGATTCGAGAGATGCTGCGATTGTATGTCGTCAACTTGGTTATCCGGATGCTCTGAGAACACTCATTCAGGTTCCTCCTGGTTCCGGACCTATATGGTTAGATGGCCTCTACTGCAAGAGGAAAGAAACTGATATAACCAGATGTTCCCATGCCGGATGGGGAGTTCATGATTGCAGTCATTCCGAGGATGTCGGAGTTGAATGCAAAACAGCAGGTAAAGTAAAGCAAGTTGTTCCATGAGACATTTGTAGATAACATCCATAACTTTTTTGATTAAATTGAACTGAATTGTTCCTGAATTAAGGAATTTGAATGAACAACAAGATGAATAATGTAAAATCTGATTCCCATACATTACTTTTGACAAAAAAGTGTCGCTGTTTTTAAAGATATGCAGCAACTTGTAGTTGTTACTCTGAAACGTCAGTTCTGCTTCTCACGTACGTCGCGAAAGTTAGATTTCATAAAAAAACAAAATGGCGGATAGCAGATGTTACTGCTTGTTAATGCCTTTAAAAGTCAGGAACGTTAACAAATTCTGTAACAAAGTTTGTAGGAAGTGTAAATCTTCAACAAACTAAAAAATTTAAATCACATATCCTTGATTCCTACGTTTACCCAAACAATATGTTACACGTTTACACGTACAGATAACACGAATTACCTCATCATCGCAATTATTTAACCAGAATACAAATATTATACAAATATATCGTCCATGTCTAGGTGACTATGATGAGCTCGAGTTGAAATGATCGTTCCGAAATCATCTGTGAGACAGGTGATTGCTTCCAGTGGCGTAACTGAAACGAGATTTGGGGGGGGGGGTGAATATTCATATATTCAGTGCTTCTCGACGAATTTCTTTTGTACGTGCAATAGCTTACAATAGAAATCCGTCGGGCAGAACTGAATATATGAATATTCACCCCCAATTATCGTTCTAGTTACGCCCCTGATTGCTTCTCATAGGAATTTGTTGTCACTTTTACTTTATATCATCACATACTTTCTTTTATATTGAAGAAAATAAACCTAGAACATTAAGGTTGCGAGGACCATCGAGTGCAAATGGAAAAGGTCGTGTTGAGATTCTCCACAATGGACAATGGGGGACCATCTGCGGTGATGGATGGGGCATGAAAAATGCGAAAGTTGCATGTCGTCAACTTGGTTATCCAGATGCGGTCAGATCTCTTCTTTATAAGCAAGTTCAATCGGGCGATGGACCTATTTGGTTATCCTATGTAACTTGCAATGGGACCGAACAAAATGTTTCACTTTGTTCTCACAACGGCTGGGGAATCCATTTTTGCACACATCGTGAAGACGTTGGGGTAGAATGTAGTACAAGAGGTAAGATTAACGTTTCGTCAGTGACAGAGAATTGGTTAATAATGTCTATGCTATCACCAATCTCGTAAAATCAGATATTTTTTTCAGTTCTAGAAAATAAGCCTGTAACACTGAGGCTACAAGGACCATCGAGTGCCATTGGGAAAGGTCGTGTAGAAGTGCTTTACAATGGACAATGGGGAACATTCTGTGATGCTGATTGGGACATAAACGAGGCTCGAGTTGTATGCCGTCAACTTGGTTATCTTAACGTTGCAAGAGCTCTTGCAGGCTCCCAAACACCTTCAGGCACTGGTCATATTTGGCAATTTGGTGTTAAATGCACAGGACGAGAAGAAAGCATGGCTAATTGTTCTTACTCCGATTGGGGAAAAGGGGATGTTTACTGTACACATTACGACGACGCTGGAGTACAATGTATTTCAGGTAGTTTAATATTTCATTTTTCATGCACAGTAAACTTTGTGGTTTGGAATTTTTCCAAACAAATCAGGAATATCCTACTGCGAATGTCCGCGAATGACCTCATACACTCACATATTGGTAACGTATTGCCTCATACATTCACATATTTATTTAGCTGCTTCAGGTCGGCCTGGGTCACTCCGACTACAAGGACCATCGAGTGCGAATGGAACCGGTCGTGTTGAAGTACTTTATAATAGGCAATGGGGGAAAATTTGTGATGAAGGATGGGATATTAATGATGCCAGGGTTGCATGTCGTCAACTTGGTTATCAAGATGCTGTTACTGCTCTTCAAGGATCACAGGTTCCTCGTGGTTATGGTCCCATATGGTTAAACAATATCACTTGTTCTGGGGAAGAAAAAAAATATCCAGTTGTTCCCATGGGGGATGGGGGAATCATGATTGCCGGAGCTACACTGACGTTGGACTGGAATGTAGCAATAGAGGTAAAGCAACAACAGTCCTTAAATCATTTCGCTACTTCAATCGGAATATCACTTTTCATGAGCGACATAAATGTATTTGAAATGTATTTTTTAAGCATATATTCGATCTTACCTAATCCCAGGAGATATAAAGTTTGTTAGTTTATAAATTGTAAAATGTAATATTGCACCAGTTGATTTTCTAAATCTGATTTGCTGTTTGCTTGATTTTGAGCGAACAGTGTAGGCACAGCAAAAGATACAGGCTTGAAGCGTTAGAACTGAGCTGGTTTACCCAAATATCTTCTTTTTAGTTCTTACAGCGACTACTTGGCCAGTAAGGTTACAAGGGCCATTGAGTGCGAATGGAACAGGTCGTGTTGAAATACTGTACAACAGAGAATGGGGAAGAATATGTGAATATGGCCAGTGGGGTATAAAAAATGCCAGGGTTGTCTGCCGTCAGCTGGGATATCCTGATGCAGTCCAAGCTCTTCTAAAGAGTCAGGTTCCACGAGGTTCTGGACGCATTTGGTTATCTTCAGCCACTTGTACTGGAGACGAACAAAATATAACAAGCTGTCCTCATTTCGGATGGGGAAGAACTTTTTGCGGGAATTCTGACGATGTTGGAGTCGAATGTAGTAAAACAGGTAAAGTTACCGAAAAGAAAGGTTTTGAAGTGTACATTGTTATATATTTTGGTACAGCCATTATTTTTAATGCCAATCAAGTCTTACGAGTTGTGGGCAACAAAGATTCCTGTTGCCTCTATGTTTAGTTTATATATTAATGATTAGTAGAGGTTGTTAATTTTTTGTCCATTTATTATTGGTTCGCGTACAAAATTTCAAGAGGCAAGAGCTTTTGCATAATGGAAATATGGGATATTCTTTTGCTCTTTTCTCCCGTGCTGTACCATTGGCATTGTAAACCAAAAGTTCAAAGCCATCCCATCATTAATGCCCTGCTCAAATGCCCCGAAACAATACTCGAGTGCACACAAACCACATTCCAGGTTTACGAAACTGCCATTCGAAGCCAAGCTATAAGCTATTAAACGTAGCTCTTTGTGAAAGAAAACTTGTCAATTGCTTGCCGTACACACGAGGGAATAAAACTTTTCCGGGAACAGTTGTCAACTTGAAAAATAGCGTACTTTGTCCTGAATGATTTCCCCATTTCGGCCTTCCTGCATGGATTCATTTTGAGAAAACATAGAACTGTAGCAGGTATTTTACTATAAAATGTTCTTTTCAGTTATTTCAGATAAACCGGTTCCAGTCAGGTTACAGGGGCCATTAAGTGCATATGGAACAGGTCGTGTTGAGGTATTTTACGCTGGACGATGGGGAACAATCTGTAATTATGGATGGGATCTAAGAGACGCTAGGGTTGTATGTCGTCAACTTGGTTATTCGGATGCTATCAATCATCGTGGAGAAAGAAGGGCTCCTGTTGGTTCTGGCCCCATTTGGTTAAGTGATGTTGCTTGTAATGGAACCGAGCAATACTTGACCAACTGTTCTCATGCTGATTGGGGAAGCGGAACTAGATTTTGCAGACATGATTACGACGTTGTAGTATATTGTATTTCAGGTATGGTATTTGAACTGTCATAGATAGTTGTACTGATTTTGCGCACTTCAATGCTGTTTTTTGGTCGGGATTAGCTCAAATAAAATCAAGTACAACAATTTAATTGCAGTTGATCCAGGTAGACCTGGGTCCCTCAGGTTACAGGGACCACAAAGTGCCAATGGAACAGGTCGAGTTGAAGTACTCCACGATGGACAATGGGGAAAAATTTGTAGTCATGCATGGGACATAGAAGAAGCAAGGGTAGCTTGTCGTCAACTTGGTTATCCAGATGCTGTTAGAGTTCTTCCCTGGTACATTGTACCTTCTGGTTCTAGTCGTGTATGGTTGGAGAAGGTCTTTTGTACCGGAAGCGAACAAGACATAAATGGTTGTGCTCATTCCGGATGGGGAAATAGTAATTGTGTGCATTTTGATGTCGCTGGGATAGAATGCAATACATCAGGTTAGGCTACAAGTCATATGTTTTGCTAAAATTACGTTTGATGATCAAACAAAAATATAAACTTCAATCAGCTGAATGATGTTTTATAAACAGAAAGTTCATTTGAATGCTCGAGAACTTGCTGAACTGGACATAATTATTTTGTTATGAAAAATATTGCTCGTACTAATCGTTTGCATAGTGGTTTAATGCATCAAATTAAAAAGGTAAACTTCAGCAAATTCTGATGATTACCAGAAATTACAACATGATTTACAGAAGGGAATGCAAGAAAACTTCGACTCATCGAAATTTCCTTTTTTTCTGTAGTCGATTTCTACGTTGCAGTTTTACTGTTAAACAAGTATCATAGTAAAGTACTCGTAACCACAGATATATCCGGTAAACAAGAATATTTCGAACTTGAACCGAGTAAAACAGTGGTCAAGAGTGAAAAATTGAAGACTTCGAAATCGTTAGCAGTTAGTGCGGTCGATGCTGGTACGAATCAAACGGTTATCATCAACGGCCAGTCTGTTGTTTATGTAAAGCCGACTATCAAGGAAAAGATTTCTTTGACCGTTCTCCACATCCAAGGTACGATACTTACTAGTAGTTAGCCGTTTTTCTTAAGTTCATGCAGGGTTGCCACAATGCAAGGAAATTCCTTGTAATTGACAACAACAAGGAAGGGAAGGATCTGTGTTAATAAGATATATTGTGCATTCTTTTCAAAAAGTTCTTCGTTTCGCTTTTTTGTCATTGCTATCTCTTATGATGACAGCCATATTCATGTAAGTAATGGAAATCCTGCTGACGTTACTAAGTCAACCCAAGTAAGCACTTAATTGTGTTCTTCCAAGCAAAGATTTCGACCTCGCAGACTATTATTTAAGGATGATCGTCACACCCCTGAGTAAAGGTGATCGAGGTTGCTTACTTCAGCAGAAGTGCATGGGAAGTGCAGAGTTGTTTATGGGTATTGAAACAACATTAATATTACCATCCTGCATCATGACATCAAATATGACCAAGTTTACACTACCTGCTAGAGATCATTGGTCGAAAATAGTCGTACCGAATTACTTCTCCTGCCAGGCTTTAGTGCTCAAGTGCCATTGCAAAATTTAGAATTCACTAACTGTATAATCATCACTCTTTTTTCGTCTAGCACCATAATCCTGGATTGATCGTAGAATCGCGAGAACGTCAACAACTCCGCGAACCAATGCACAACACAATATTGATTATAAATTTGAAATATACTTTAGAATTTTAAATGATAATAACATTTCATTCGGGTCACTTTGTTTCCTGGAGACATATAAACGGGCTATTAACTTAGTTTTAGGAATTATTTGTAATTTTAAAAATTTGTAACGTTTGCATGTTGATAATAATACATTAGCTATACCGACCGGGAAAAGCAACTCATGCCTATAGTCTTAGTGGCCAGTAGGCTGTGGATTTTACTTAGCCTTCTTGCTCTGGAATGTAACGACAGATTTAAAATAATTCTTCCATAAAATCCTTATTCTGTCGTTGAGTGGGAGATCACGCCTCACGCCGTACCAATTCCATGACGATGTTTCCACTCGAGAAAAAATATTTTGATTTTCAGTGATTGACCTCAACTTCCCCTTTTTTCGTCTACTGATTCATTAGGAAAGGACTTTCACATTAATCAGTGATAACAGAAGCCCCGTTTAAACTACACTAAAATTACTGACACGGGGCGGCTAAAATGCCTGGTTTCATGCATGAGCCCCCCCCCCCCTACAATCCAGGCTTTGTATTGATAGCTTGAACACTAAAAATTGGTACTGGTACCAATTTTAGTCGTGCCGTGCCAATGAATTGACTATACTGTAAACGGGACTGGAATTTTTATTTTACACTAGTACTCATTTTTGCTTTTTGGCGCCAAATAGTAGGATTGCAAAAAAGATACGCGGAAGAGGTCGATTCTCTGTAGAGACTGGGCGAAATTCACGTGTTTTTTTTAGTTAAGTTGTTTCCCCGTCTCCAAAGGCAACGAAATGCACGGGTAAACTATGTGATAGTCAACTGAAAGTCTGATACGACTGCTGTGAAATTAAAACAGAACAATAACTCTCGTACATGCATGGTTCTCATCAGGCTATAGATTTTTATTGTGGAACTGGCATTGACAGATTAGGGATTATAAATTATAATGGGTCGAATTTCCCTCAATGCACACTCGTGACCTTTATATTTTCCAGAATTAAAGCGAATCGTCTTGTTACATGTTGTTTATATCATGTATATATTATATGTATTCGGACTTCGAGTGTTGAAATGCGAACAGCCAAAGAAATACCGCTACTATCGTACGTTTTATGAATTTACCGCTGCATGAAGGTTGTTTCATGGCAACTTCAGCATTCAGCAACATGTCAAAGACAATTTTTATTATTTGCGTGTTAGTTGGTCTAGTTCTCTTAACTTACCCAGAGTGGCAATACGAAGGTAAGTCTGACGCTAATTTCTTCCTTCCTGACTTGATAAAATGAACCAGGAAACCTGAAGAACTCGAGATATACAAATGAAGTTTTTTGACTAGCAAATTGCATGCAACACAGAGAGCCTATGGTTTATTAAAAGTGTTTTCAAAAGAGTCGGAATATTTAAACACAGTGGCAGTGTAAGTTGACACCTCTTCCAGGGGAGTATTTATTATGAAGCTATCATAAGACAAAAGATGTAGAAGGAAAGCATTCCTCGGGTAAAAGCGGTGAATTTCAGTTCAGAAATCAAAAGCAAAGAAAAACTTCCATTTCCGACGATACTTTCATCTGATAAACTCCAGAAAACCACCAAAATTGCAAAAAAGAGAAGGGATTACAAAGAAAATCCATAATTTAACAAAATATTGTATGTGAAAAGCGAAACGGAAAAAGCGCTTTTTTCAATTCAGCTGACCAAAAAAGTGTAAAAAATTCTCTTTTTACCTTTTGTAATTTTATACTTTTGGCTCTCGTTCTCATACCTGAATGGCATATTACATACGACTCGAGCTGATGATAGTATTGTGAGAATAATATTCTTTCGATTTCTTGCAGACTGGTCAGTGTCGCCAGAAGTGTATCTACCAGTGCGGTTACAAGGACCATTGAGTGAGAATGGCATTGGTCGTGTTGAAGTGCTCTACGACGGACAGTGGGGGACAGTTTGTGATGATGATTGGGATATGGATGATGCAAGGGTTGTGTGTCGTCAACTTGGTTTTCCAGATGCCGTTAAAAAATTCCAAGGCGGCGAGGTTCCATCTGGTAGTGGGCGTATCTGGCTAGACGAGGTCGCCTGTACTGGAGAGGAACAAAATCTAGCATGGTGTTCTCGTAACGGTTTTGGAAATGTAGATTGCACGCATTATCAAGATGCCGGAGTGCAGTGTAGAACTAGACAGGAAAGACATGAAAATTTTGCATTGCAAGACCTCGATCGTCAGTGGGGTCAGTTGTAAAAAAGCTTCAACTTGTTCAGCCAACTATATAGTTATTATCGTTAACAATTTATATGCAACCGGTTGACCCGGTTCTTTTAATGCGTTATTTCCTTAAAATTTCTTTGAAAGTTGATGCAAGAAGCAAATTTTGTAAAAAGAATAAAGAGCTGTTTAAGTTAATAAATATTCAAGACATGTTAACTCAGACTCATTCGTTCAAAAAACTTTAAGAGAGTTTCAAAAACAAGGCTGCAAGGATTAAATACAAATTTTGAAAAAAGCAAAATTCATAATTTGTTCAAATACTCCACAAATTGTATATATAATTTTGCTCTGGACATATTCACTTATGGACAGATATCTATATTTATCAAAAAATCTTTAGATCTCTTTACATTATCTTTTATTTTTCTTCCTTAAATTAAACTTATTTCCTTAGAAATTAGAACTTAATCGTGCAATACTTTCACTACTGAGCTTTTATGCTCAATAGATGATGCAATAAGAATGGATATGAAAAGTTCGAGTTTGTCGCTTTCCTGCAAAGATCCGTTGTAATAGATCCATATATCCGGCTAAACAATCAATATTGATCGTATATTAAACAATAATATTATGAATCTGCACCAATGAAGCGCTCAAAAGTGATTGTAAGAAGTGTTGAATAGGTTGCTTAGGCGAGGAAATACGAATGAGCAACAACGAGGATTAACGTATCGTTTGATGTCATACATCTCTATTTTAAAGCTGTTAATGGAAGGCGACAAAGTCGAAATGATATACCATACCATTTTCGTCACGTCATCCGATTAAGCATACGTGAGTTCAGTCCTTTAGGGTTTCCAGAACAAGTTCTTTTTCAATATTTGTTCTTGCCTATGATATTGAACTTCATTTAATTTGCAGCTACTAATCATGCAAAGGATGGGCCACTGAGGTTGCAAGGACGTCTGAGTGCAAGTGGAATTGGTCGTGTTGAAGTATTCTACAAAGGAGAATGGGGAACAATCTGCGACAATGAATGGGATATAAACGATGCTAATGTTGTATGTCGTCAACTTGGTTACAGAGGTGCGGCCAGATCTCTACCTGGGAGCCAGGTTCCTAACGGTCCTGGGCCTACATGGTTAGATGGTGTCTCGTGTAATGGAACAGAAAAACTATACAAAGTTGCAATCATAAGGGTTGGGGAAATTATGATTGTATTTCTCATTTGGAAGACGCCGGCGTTCAATGTATTAATACAACAGGTAAAGCTCCAGATAAAAATGGATGATGGCGAATATTTCCTAGCTAACTGTCCTTAAGATAGATTTTCAGATAAATGATTAACCTGAAAATGAGTAAGTCGAATAAGTTTGAGAGTTTTAGATGATTTAATCCACCATCATAAATATGATGCATAGCATAGCTTTCTTTCCACCATTCCTTTACGCAACCATATAAAAATTCCATTCCAGTAAAACTAGGTGCCTTTTTGATTTGACATTTTAACCTCACTAGTAATGTATATTTTATACATTCAAGTATATTTTTCCTTGTTACTATTTTTACTTCAATGCATCGCTATGACATATTAATATTCATGTAGACATTCTATTTTAGATTCTGGGAGTCCATCGCAAACATTGAGGTTAAAAGGGCCACTGAGTGCAAATGGAACAGGCCGTGTTGAAGTATACTACGCTGGACTATGGGGGACAATCTGTGATCTTGGATGGGATTTCAAAGATGCTTGGGTGGCATGTCGTCAACTTGGATATGCGGTTGCAGTGAGATCCCTTTCTGGGGAACAAGTTCCATCTGGCACTGGACCTGTATTGTTATCTTACGTCCGATGTACTGGGCAAGAACAAAATATAACAAGTTGCCCTAGTGAAGGATGGGGAAATAATTACTGCTCACACTCTCAAGATGCTGGAGTTGAATGTAGTAAAACAGGTGTTAAGCAATCGAAAAATCGCCTGTTTTTCAGACTCTGGAAAAAGTTTATCTTCGTTTTAACTATTTTTAAACAACTGTTCCACGTTTCGTCGTTTAAAATATTAAAATCTACACACTAATGATTCCCAAAATTTTCAAAATGTTTGATTTCGTCTTCTTCTTTTTAAGTTGATACAAAGCCTGTGCCACTGAGATTACAAGGTCCTATGGGTGCTTATGGAATAGGTCGTGTTGAAGTATTCTACCATGGACAATGGGGAACCATTTGCGATGATGAATGGGATATAAATGATGCTAAGGTGGTTTGTCGCCAGCTTGGTTATTCAGGTGCTCTCGAATCTCTAGGAGGTAAACAAGTTTTGTCTGGTTCTGGAAAAATCTTTTTGGATGAAGTCTCGTGTACTGGTATAGAACCATATTTGCAAAGCTGTTCTCATCAGGGCTGGGAAAAACATGACTGCAGTCATGTCCAGGACGCTGGCGTGCATTGCATTAATACAGGTAAATTAAGCTCCAGAAAAACGCAAATCAGGCAAAGATTAAAAAGCATAAAGCTGTATTTAGGTATGGCAAGAGACAACGAGAAACTTGTTAGTATATTATCAGATATGGGCGAAGTAATCAGGAAAATTGCTTCTCAGGCGTCCGCTTCTACGTACAAGTTCCCATACCATACTATCATCTGTCTTTATTAATTTTTCCACTCCCAAGTCGTAACTAGACACGATAATTGTGGTGGGTGCATATCCATATCCATATACTCATTCTTCATGACAAAATTATTTTTGGCGTTTGCAGAAATCCGTCTGGCAGAACTGAATATATGAGTATGCACACC